GCCCATGAAGCTGACCTGGGAGTTATCCCTAACCTTCAAGAAGCGAACGTTGTCGCCCAACGCGTCACTGTGTTGGAGAACCAGCTGGAGTGTCTCGCAGAATGGGAAGATGCAGCACATGTCATGGACCATGTCGAAGCACCATTCGGGGTGATCAGTCAGATCGAGAGCGACATTCTTAATCCAGTGGATGAAATGCCCGTTATCTCTGATCTGGTGCCATCTGATGGTTTGCCTGTCCCACCAGAAAATATCCTTGGATATATTGAACCAGAGGCTCTTGTAGGGACTTCCGTACGCTCCAAACAGAAACCGGCCAATCTTCTTAGAAATCCTCCGTGCTTCTTTGCAGGCTTGGGTTGAGGGTGGCGGTTTGTGATCGACCACCATGGGAATGACACCAGGCACAATCGAAGTGGCCCTTGTCTTGAAAATTCTTGCTTCTCCGAATGAGTACTCCCAAATGATGGCTCTGATCTCTGGAGGGAGCTTCTTGAAGAGGGGGAAGGTCAAAGGTGTCGGTTCCGTTGTCAAAGTTGTGTCAGCGGCATCTTGATGCGGGTTGATGGTTCCGATCTCGGTTCTAGAATGGAGCAGTCTGGAGCCTGGTGTATGTGTCAGAGAGGAAGACATCCATCGATATCGAGGGGAAAGTGATGCATACCGTTGCCAGTCGTGATGTTCACTTCCTAAGCGAAGCCGATTCTAGGCAGAATGCATTGGACTGTTGTGAATGGGAAGGTAACGATATTCCACACGCAAGAGACTAGAGGAGGGCGGGGCGATTGCCACGGCATGGCAACGGAAGAAAAAAGGCGAATGCCTTGAGTGATTAGTGCAGCAAGAACGAAGTGAGGTAGACAGATGTTGGATCTGACCCAACGTGGATGATGAAAAGGTAAAAGATCTAGAATCAGATGGATACCTAGGTAGATCTAGAAATTTAGGTACCCTAGGTGGAAGGAACTCGAGGCTGGAGGAGGCCTGAGTGCCTTCCCGGCTGGTCTGGCATTGCAAGGCAGGCGGAAACACCTGGCGTACCCGATTTATGGACAGTGATTCACTGTGAACCGAGCCTGGTGCGCCGTGGCACCACCTCAACTGCTTCAAGACGAGGAAGAGGAAACTCACGTTCATCTTCCGAGCTTGAATCTGAGTCTTCTTCCCAATGATCATCCTCCAAGGCCTGTTTCAAACCAGCCCAATCCATGTTCCCCCCTTTGTAAACACAAACCGCCCGCTTGTCGTCTTCCTCGATACGAAGGAATTCAACATCGCCCTTGTCCAATGAGGGCCCATATGACATGACCAGTATAATCCGTTTGCAGTTGGGGAAATAGTCCAAAATCTCCTTGAGCGAATACAAGTTCAATTCGTCACACGTGCCGCGCCAATTGATGGCTACGTTCTCGATCTTCGCCAAGTCGCGGTCAGTGCAACAGGCTTGGAGTTCAAGATATCCAGACATCGTATGGTCACAGTACAGGATATCCTCAGACGACTTGAACCAGAGGGACTTGATTGAGAGACCTCGTGCGCCGAAGAAGAGCTCTCCATATTGTTGGGATAGTTGGAGAGACTCCCGGCACGCTGCACGAGATGATGGCGGCTTGTGATTTATGACCATTGGCGTCCAGGTGACAAGCTCATCTGTCCAAGGGACCAGACGAAAGATCTTTGGCCCTCCAAAAGAGTACTTCCAGATCATTTTTCGCACCTCTGGAGGGAGCTTAATGAACTGAGGAAACGATGAGGCTGGGGTTTCGGTTGCGGTCGCGGTCGAATACGTTGAAGTGACAGCAAATGGTTGTCCGCCGGGCCCTCTGATTTCAGTCCGTAGGCACAGCGATTGAGACGCTCACGACTTGTTAGTTAACGGACAGGAGAGAACCGGCGGGATACACATACTGTTACCAGGTGTCAATGTGAACTCGGAAGTGATAACAAAGCCCACTTGTGAAGAGTGAGAGGCCAGTTCCTCGGGAGAAACGGAAATGCTATGGGATGCCCGAGAGACACCTCTGCCGAGAGACGCCATGTCATCTTCCTCGGCGGCCATATTGACCGTGATGATGATGATATTTAGGTGCTGAAGTGATCAAGATGGTAATGCTGATGACAAGATGATGAAGAGGATGTGAAAAAGGTGAAGTCTTGTTTTCTTAGTAGAAAGGGGGGAGGAAGTGGCAATGATTCACTCACGGCGAGCACTGCTTTGCAGCTGTCAACAGCTGCCGAACACGCGGTGCATCCGCAACTCCATCTCAAACTTGCACACATGTTTAGATTTTATTTTCCTGGGCACAAGGCAATTTAGATAGCAAAACGCATGTTGCTGCTGTTGTATTGAGTAGATATCAAAGTTTGGTGACCAACACTCCCCTTGACCAGTTTGTAACTCTGTCACCCTCACTCTACCCATTCAGATCGACAAACAGGAACAATTAGAAAATAAAACCATTGTACCTAAGTCATTGCTAGACTCATTACAATCTTGCATTTCAATGGCCCGCAAACAGTGGCTGGTGCAGGTATCCGTTCGAGTGTCCAGAAAGGGTGATTCACAAGGTGACCGGCCGACGGCTGGCAGCTGTTGACCTCAATTATATCAGTGAAAAAGAGAGAGAGGAGAAAATACCCACAGTTTAATGAATCACAATCATGCGTACTTTTTGACCTATAAAACCCGTGCAACGCAGACACGGCACAAGAGCACCATTGTGCATACTCTTGGCTTCGTCACTCCGAGGTTGGTACGCCCTTTGCATGCGCTCGCTTTCTTGTCAGCCTTGAAGCTCTTCGAAATAGAGATTTTCCTGGACCAAGAGCTTCTCAACATTCATTTCTTTGTCTCTCCTTCTTTGTTTTGATTCGCAGACAGTCGTCATCATGGATCGCACCTCGATCGATGGGAGACGTAGAACCAAGTCTGCGACTCCATCTGCAAAATGCCCACGAAAAGGGGAGACTCCAGTCAAGCTCCGGCCGGCCTCGCCTCCAAGGAGCAACCCATGGAGCGTAGCGAACAAGAGAGCGGCTAAGCCCGCCACTGACAATTTCCCACCTCTCCCGAAGCCGCAGATGGCGCTGTCTTCCGTCGCGACATCTACGACTGGGAGATCCCGGAAATCCTCAATATCGTCATTTGAGCCACAGTCCAGAGACGAAGCAGCGGTGGTCGCTGTACCTGGATCTCCCTCATCCAACACGTCTAGCACATCCCGGCTCATCCTGGAAGCAGCAGCATCGAGAGCAACAGCTAAGTCAGTGAACACAACCACTTGGTTAGGCCAATCACTGACCATTCCGCAGTCTCTGGAAATCCCCATTTGGAGCCGATGTGGTTGTACGTGCTGGGAAAATGGAGTTCCGAGTCCATCGCAACATTGTCACACCCGAGTCTGGCTGGTTTCATGACCACTTGCCACCACCCAACACAGTATGACTTGATCTTCTCTGGTGGTTGACAATGACGAACTGATTGTTCCTAGGATGGTACACCAGTTGAGATTCACACGGATCTTGCTCCCGAAGCAGTCGGACATTGCTTGCGATTCATCTACACAAGGGGTGAGCACTCCCAGGTCGAACCCCCAGGGTGAGCCTGAGACTGACAAAGTGATAGAGATCGAAATCTGCGAATACAGCCATGATGATCCTTGGAAGACGATCCACCTCCCTCGTTGTGTACTGGGATATTGCGCAGCAGTCAATCTGCGAGTGCCCAAAATGATCAGCTACCTACTTCGAATCGTCGAAGACACATCAGTCCAGCTTGGAAGAGTAGTCAGAGCAGAGTATCTCCACCGACCCCTGGGATGCTCCGAATGGAACCAGTTCTCATGGTACTACCAAGCCGCACTGGATATTCTCGCCTGGGAGCGGTCCAAAAAGCTTATGAGGCCTATGCGACTGGCCCTGGCGAGCGTTCTCGATGCCATCCTTTTTTGGTTGATGCGACAGCCCTTGTTTGTCAGTGTTCTTCAGACGACCTGGCATAAGGTTTTGAGAGCCAGCGTGATGGATATTGCTGAGTACCGACAGCTCACGAGAGATGCCAACCCCTTCACCAACAGTGCCCTCCCTGACGAGGCGGCAATCAGAAAGATACTCGACGAGGTGGAAGAGGAGAGGAAGCAGTTCAAGATACAGACCAAGAAGAGACGAGTCTTCACAGAGAACGGCCTGATGTTGCAAGACGGGAACATGGAAGCTTTGGGAGCTGAATTTGGGGGCAGCCGAGGCAGACGCGGCTCAATGTGAAACGAATGGATGGATGCTCCTTTGAGCATGATGCGTTCTTGCGGAGAGGAGGCAACGACCATCGGAAGCGAAAAGGGAACAAATGTCGCAGGCGAGGAAGCGTGTGTTTGAGACTTGTCCACATATTGAGGCTTTGTATAAATCCCACACATAGACAGGTACATAGACATAGATTCATCGAGCTTAGAAGAGCTCTCGGCTTGGAGGTTAACGGATGGTAAATGTGACACGCAGGCGAACTAACTCATCATAAGCATGACAAAATTTAGAAAAATATCATCAAATAACATAATAATTTAGAAAGATTCCCCTCGCTGTTATGATATTTTATTAACCATAGTTAGATGAGAATAGACTAATATGTATCATCTCTCGTTTTTCCTTAACGCAGGTGAGTGAGATTGCTCGACGTCAGCGTGTCCTACACGCAGCCCGACGATCTTTCAGCTGTGGCGCTAGCGACTATGCCTGGACATGGATGCACGATCACCCCAGTAATCAATAAAGGCGGGTAAGCAGACTTAGCAGAGCGATATTTATTTCTTCATTCTACCTTGATTATTCTCAAGAACGCCTATTGTCAATTAGATCTGGCCTAGTCACCATGGCTGATCCAGGCGAAGGCCAGGGACGCTCTTCCCACGTCCGATTCGCGGATCAAGAGTATTATGTGGTTTGTTTACCCCGACACAACAAGACTCTCACGCTCACCTCATGCTATATAGAGACCTCGACGACCTCATAGGCAGGACTCTAGAACTCAGTCTAGACGTGGCACATATGAGAGAGTCGAAATACCCATTGAGAGGCCTCGGGCCCGCAATGACAGTGGGGATAGGCCAGGGCCCCCAGCCACATTCCGAGAAGAAGTGATAGTGAGAGCATCACGGCGCTCTCGAGATGAGGCAGATGTGTATGATGATTACACCGACTTTCCTCCTCCTGATGCCTCGCCTCGGAGGCAATACGAGCCCACCAGAAGGTTTACCGAGTCTCCACGGCCAATTGAGGATGAGGAGGACACGCGAAGAGATGCCAGGCGAAGAAGCTCATACAGCCGTTCCAGAAGCCGATCAAGGTCACCAAGCCGCCGCCTCTATGGAAGTCCTCCAAGGCGTGATAGGTACAGGTCTCGAGAGACTTCGCGCACCCCTGGATACGATGGCGACAACTTTCGTTCATACAGAGCGGGTAGCTTCTCGAGTGATGAATGGGATCCATACGACAAGTTCAGTTTCGCATCGCAGTCGCTATCCATGACGGAGTCGTCAAGAGACGGGGACTCTGATGCTGAATCTCCCGAGCCTGAAGAGCAGCCTCCCCCGAAAGTCGAAGTAGCATCGGCTTCCAGTTCCCAGTTGACGCTTGTTCACTCTTCACTGTACACCGGCAATGCTGAGATGAGCGGATCCCATACCGCGACTCTCAAGGTGGTGCATGATGCGACAGTCCAGAAACACCCTCTCTTTAGATGGCTGTGAGTTTTATGTTCTGGAGTTCACTTGGCTGAGCTCACCTCACTGCCATTTTAATTGCTATGAGCTAACCCTTGAGTAGTCATATTCCCCAAGACGTGATGAACTTTGACAAGTTCTGGGTGAGTTCCTAAGCCCTTTAGGCAAGGGTTTGCATCTAATCCTCTAACTATAGGTTGAAATCTCTCGCATTTCTGGCCTCACAGCGCTAGAAAAGAAGGCCATCACCAGACTCCGTGCCGATGTCAAGAAGACATGCGCAAAGTCAAGAATCAATCCGAAAGGCGCAAGGGTCGGGTACCTTGATCCAAAATCCATTGAGGTGCCTCTCAAGACATTGAAGCAAGGGACCACGACAACCGACATAGTCACCGGCTCTTCTCGATGGATTTGTATCCCTTACTTCTCTCTCGAGAAGTATTCCGGTTTGCTAGCGGCTTCGAACACGTCTCTTTTCCCTCCTCAAACACTACTGCAGGTGCAATACTCTCAAATCGCCGAGCCCAGAGATATGGAACAGGCTGTATGTCGGTTGGGCAACGCAGACCGTGGAGAATGTTTTCACATCTCTCAACTTTGGTGTCTTGTCATCGATAATAGTAAGCTTGGAATCTATTATGCCGTGGAACGATTGCTGATCATGATGGAAACAAACAGGTTTGCTAGTCACTTGTGGAACAATGGCGCGAGATGATCTGCTTGGCCAAGCCTTGGAAATCAAAGAACAGCCCTCCCGTGCGCTAGCCACTGAGGCCAAGGGGCGGATTCTTGTTGCCTATGGCGAGTCAGTAGTGTGGCTTCTCGAGGCAGAAGAGTGCCAAACATGGTTTGTGAGTCTGTTTCTGCCATCTGGCTGGGATATCACTAACAGCAACAGACGTTCTTGTCAAACTTTCAAGCATTTTGGCCCAAGATTCCTGAATTCTGGCACAAGGACCAGGTGATTACACCCGAGACATGGCCAAAAATTCTCAAGTTGGCGTCCACAGCTCGGTCGTTATCGATCAAGATTATCATGAAGCTGGGGTATGCTGCCGAAGCATCTGATGGATGAAAGACATAACTGACGGTGTACAGCTCCCAACCCGATCCGCCTCCGCGTTCAATCCTTCGTTCAGAGCCCCAAGTTCTGTCAAGCTCCTCTGGCAAGAAAGGAAGGCCCAACGTGAACAAGTTCTTCCATGTTCTCACACTAGCTTCAAGAGGTCTCACTACCATGGCCGGTTCAGCGACCCTTGAGGCTCAGCTTGAGGCAGCTGAGAAGTTCATCACAGCCGAGACCACTTACTCGAACCGGAAAACATACGCATCCTGCAAAGAGTCGACCAAGATGGAGTGCTACCTGTACTTGGCTGGTCTAGCGGATCGTGTGGAAGCCCAGGGGAGTGACGAAGTGCGGCGGGCGTACGAGGAGAAGATTGACATTTTCAACGCGGCCGACGTCATCTACAACTTCTTCCTCCCTGCGGACTTCGAGGGCCCGATGGCAGGCAAGTTTTGGGGTGCTGTTCGAACCATGATCGAGGTGAGTTAAGCCAGAGGCTGGTTGATGACATTGGCAGGCTAACTTTCGAAGCTCTCGATACTGGAACCTGGCTTCATCCAATCAAGCTTCGAAGACACCCTCAACGATGTTCGAACATCTCTTCGAAGCTTCACCCAAGACCTTTTCGCATTTCAGACAATCATGGCATATTCGACCGAAGAGGAGCGTGTTGGAGTTGACCTGCCGCCCGAATTCTCCACAGCCTGGCTCTACATTGTCATGGGTATGATTTACGGCTCCAAGGACGACTTCACCTGGAATAGCCGGATTAGTCGAGCCAAAGACTTGGTTGAAAAGGGGTCCAAGAAGCTGCTTCAAGGCCTCTCTAACAAAAGTCTCCTGGACCGAGCCTCCGTGTTGCCTCTTGAAGTGTTATCGCTTGTCACGATGGGCCTGTTGCAGGATCAAGTTGGAAAGTCTGATGATATTTGCGACACATACTCACAGTACCTCAACTCTCTTGTATGCGCAATCGATAACTTCGGCACATCCAGTTGCTAACATCTATCTTGCAGGACAATTCTATCACGTCACAGCCGTCAGATAGATCACTCCAACGCTACATTGACCTAGTCCAGCAAGAGCTAGTAGCAGTGAAGCGAACGCTGTGGAAGCAAAAGAACATCATCTGCCGCGTTCGAAACTCTTTGACTGCAATCGGCACGGAGGAAATCGTTATCCGCCAGCTTGAGCAGACCATGTTTATGAAGGGCAAGGAGAGGCAGTACAACAAACGCCATTATGCAGAGGTCTCTCCCCCGAACCCACCACCACAGTCGTATGGGCCGGAAGAAGACTATGCGCCGCGGGTTGAGTATGCATATACGCAAGAGGTCACACCACCACAGCCGGCCAATGACTACATGGGCCTAGATGATGACTTTCTCTACGACATGACGACGTCGTCGAAGCTCTCGCCCACAGATGCAGGTGGTCTGCGTGCCCTGTTATTTCTTGAATGCTCAAGACTCATCGAGCAGCGTGAGTTCGAATTCCGACGCTTCACCGAGTTTACCAAGGATCTCGAACGTGGATTCGCATACAAGATGGACTTTACGCGTGACCGACAGGAGCGTGCCATCTATGCCTTTACACTCGTCACCATCATCTTCCTGCCCATCAGCGCCGTGTCCAGCATCTTTGGCATGAATACAACAGACATTCGTGATATGGAATATTCACAATGGTTATATTGGGTCGTTGCGATTCCTCTGACGGTAGTGGTCATTATGGCCGGCCTGCTGTTCATGGGCGAACTGGGCAACCTGGCCCGGTGGTTCTTGAGACGGTCAGGACAAGGAGGGCAGGGCATGTACGGAGGGCCTTCGATGATGTCGCAAACAGCCGAGTCAGCGGCATTTTGGCCTCCTCCTCCACCTCCTCCAAGAGAGGAGTATGTGTCGCCATATGAAGGGGGCCCTGGAATGCAAAGGACACAAACTCAGGTATACTATCGTGCTCCGTCGACAAGGGTTCGCCCATCTCGGAGAGTGGGAGGATATTAAGTAGTAAGAAAACAATTTGGCATTGTTACTTAGGCGTATGGCCATAGACTAATCCTAACCATCCATAACCCGAAGCCTAACCTATCCATTGGCTAAAGGGGGTCAGCTCACAGGGGTCGTCTTGACAAAACACTCGTTGCTTGGTAACTCAAGTTTCAATTTACCTCGACTCCTTTTGCAATATATACTCCGTCTTATACATTTAACCATCTCGCCATAATCCCAAAGTCGTCAATCATGATACAAAGGCCGTAAAAAAACATCAAGGTCCGATTCTATACTCATGACACACATTGTTTCGTTATCATCGGTAGTATTCACGCTCTCGGTCCGAGATGAAGATGCGAGTGCGATCGTCCTCTATCATCCTCCTTGGGGGTGATACCCTTCGAGGTGGTGAAGGAGCGGGCAGAGCCCTCCGGGGTCCATCGACATAACGGTACGTGTCGTAGCGAGGCTCAACAGGGACCGGAACAGGGATAGGGACGATCCTCTCGCGCTCGATGATACGCTCACGGTCATGGTCGTGAGACCGGTGGCTGTGTCGGCTGCGGGATCGGGACTTGGGCTTCTTCTTCTTCTTGTGAGGCTCAACGTCGACGGCAATGACCTCGATGGGCTCCTCTGGCGGGGGCGGCGGGGGCTTGGGTTTCTGGACGGGCGCAGGAGGAGGTGGAGGAGGGGGAGCGGGCTTGATCTCAGGCTTAGGCTCAGGCTTCACTTCCGGCTTGGGTTCGGGTTTGGGCTCTGGCTTGGGCTCCTGCTTGGGTGGAGGCGGCAGCGGCGGCCGTGCGACGACGGGCGGAGGCGGAGGAGGTGGAGGTGGAGGCCCGGGGATGATGGTGGTTACCCTTCGACGGACAATGCCATAGTCGGGCTCAGGGTGCTGGAGATAGAGGCGCTTCTTCTCATAGTGCCTGGTAACTAGAAGTGCGAGATGACGTCAGTGACGGTTGGGTTGAGGCCGGACGGCACGGCGACGTGCAGCGAAGGAGAGACATACCCATTTCGATGGACAGGGACGAGTCGTAGTATAAAAAGATTTGAGACGCAGCGGCAAAAGCCAAAGGAGGCGGTTTGCTTGCCTTGAAGTGATGGACACGGGTCGTGGTGGGGTCTGCTGGTGATGAAGATGGTGGATGGTGGACGGGGAGAAAAGACGAAGGATGACGATCTTATATGTAAGAGGTTTGGGGGAGGGACAAACAACAAAGACAAAGAAGCACGCGCCATCCCATGTAAAGTGAGTTGGTGCCATCCAAGGCCCGACCGAGGACGGCCACGGCCCAATGCCTTAGTCCAAGCCATCCCGAACTTGGAGGTTGTCACTTGAAGCTCTATCGGTGCCTCTCCTGCCCAGTCACAAGCCGTCACAGGGCAAATGACGTCGCACATGCGCATGCACGTCAGCCCCCCCGCTCTCTAACAAACCAGATTTCCATCCCGACAGCGACCAGGGGTGCATCTGCCTCTGGCACACCTTTTTCAACGCTTGTGGATCTTAGAAGGGCCATGTGACTGGCTTCCTTCGTGGTCACGCCTGGAGAAAGAACAGCTGGATCCTGGACCCTGAAGTCGAAAAGGATGAGGGGAAAATGGCGCTGGCAGGGCTGAGCTGGCTTCGTTGGGTAGCGGCTTATGGAACGAGTGGTAGAATCTTGGCCGAAGGATGCCCATGGCGACATGAGCTTACTCCTCTTTGGGAATTTCCGAGATGCGGAATTCCAACCGTGGGACGAAGGAAAAAATTCTCATGTTGTGTTTTGCTTGGGCATTGAAGCATGGATGAATCAGAGTTGCTGATGCCGGTGGGCTCTTGATGATGTGGCATGAGGTTTAAATTCCCTCAGCCAAGAAAACACAATATTCTTTCCTGTTAACCGAGTAGTGTTCTTTCTTGACGCCCAAAACCTTGATAGGATGGAATGCTGGACGTGCCGAATCACGGCCGGAGCCGGCTTCGGAGATGTGGGGTATCACACGGCGACGCCTCCCGCCCGACAGTCTCCAATATTCCGACACCTCGTCCGAGATTCTATCAACTCAGAGTCCGAGTGTTCCTTCTCCTGGGCTCACCCCATGGAAGGCCTGTTCACCCTGACGATCGCTGCATCCCACCGCCTCCTGAAACCGCTCCGATCGAAGCGACCAACAGGGGCCCTAAACCACAAACCTGGTCGATTTTCATTTGGAGGTCGCGCGGGGGGGTTCAATTTGAAAGGCTATCTCCCCCAACAGACAAGCAAGCAGGCAAACAGACAAACAAGCAAAGCAAATACGAGCTCATCTGCAGATGTGGCTGGCTAGATCTTCCATCGAGTCTCGATAGTGAAACCTCCAAGAAGCTGACCAAGACGGTACGAAGCAATATATTGCCTGCCATGAGGAGACCCTTGCTCGGTTATCCGACGACGGCGGTGCGGCCGGTGAACCAGGACAGAGTAAAAAAAAAATATATTCCGTAATGAGCAGGATCAAGCTGTCGTAAAATCGTGCAGAGATACAAGTCGGCCGCACCTCGAAAAAAGAAAGTTGCTCCGCGAAAAAGAAACTCAAAGTAACAGAACCAATGATATCCGTAGCTGAAGGTCTTGGGCTGGCGAGTTTGGGGGAGCTGATCTCTCCTGAGGCGGGCGCTAGATGCGGTTGTTGACGAGGACCCTTGATTCTTGGCGATGTGTCTTGATCCCAACTCAAATGCGCTACAATCTTGAGGAAGCCCGTTCGCCATGGGAGTGCAAACTATATTGTAAATGTAGTTGTACACAGTCTTTTGGAAATTATACTCGTGATTAGAAACCCATCAAGTTTTCTGAGAACCGACTCTCCACTCGTTCTCAGCCACCGAGCGGAGAGGCGATGCAAGCCTCTATGATTCAGGGCCGACTTGACTGGTCAATGAAAGATGCGGCTGGCTTCTCAGTTTCAACCCCCATTAACGATGAACATGTTTCGAAACGGCTTTTGGCTGATGTTGAAGGGATACTTTCACCAGCAGCGAGCGGGACTTCATCGATTCACAGCTTTGTAGGGATACAGGCACTTGGATAGTTGGAATAAGAGCTCACTAATGCCCGACTGGCTGTGTTTCCATGCCGTCTCAAGAAACTAGATCATATAGTCATTTTGCATTGGCATAATGATATTAACATAGTGATTGATGCGTTCTATCGTAGTGACTGAGAGTGGGAAGCCTAACAGTCAGTAGACAGGAGAGCCTCTCAAAGCAACTCACTCCGAGGCAACATGCCATCTGCTCAAAATGACAGTGACTAGAAATCCTCTTCACAGACGGACTCTTTCCATCTCCGTCGTCGAAAGTTGGTTGCAAAAATTGAGATGCATGTTCACACTTTCGCCTGTTGACACTCGGCGCTGAAGAGCTGCCTGTTCCAGGGCGACATTCCTTAAGCTCAAGGGAGTGAATTCACTGCAACGTGCATCTGTGGAAAATCGGGCCAAAGGAATCTGACGGACGTCCGGGACAAAGGACACTCCGAGGCTGGACGTCTACTGAATGAAAGCGTTGTGTGGACAGGCGGGCTGCGTGACTCCTTCGTTGCGAACCTAAACAGCTGCTTCCTTGCTAAAAAGTCTAGCCGAAATATGATTGTGTTCTAGTTCAAGTCTTGTAAGTAAGTATACGAGGAAACACAACTCAAATGTATATACTAACGGCGCATTGCAATTAAGCATGTGGTGGGTTGATATGGATGGCAACTTGACGAAGAAGCTGGGCAGCAGGATCAAGACTGAGTTGGCTAAGTCATCACGATGACTAGTTATCTTGCAAGTGAACTTGATCACCGTGCAATAATTGATACCTTTATCGAAAGGGACTTAATAGGTTATGGCAAGTAACCTTCAACTCTGAGAACAACCTGGTACCTTTGTAAGTGTTCGAGGTACCTCCGTAACCAAACACTGATAACCTAGACTTTGAATGATCACAATTGCAATGCCGAAATATGATCCGTAGTTAGGAATATGCCTGCAAGCGGAATACCATGGAAATGGTTATACCGGCACTCCCATATGAACTCAATTCAATTGCCGGCATCTCAACCTCGGAGTTGATATGCGCCCATTCCCACGACGTTACGGCCCGCTAGACCGTGTCTGCGGGCGGACCCGCACCAAGAAAGAAAATAAAGGGTCGGGATCGACTGCACCTCAGGGACCCAAAAGGTCACTTGAATGCAGGGGCTAAAGAGCAAAACGTGGACACTAGAGGGCGACCGTGGGGAATCTAACAAGACCAATTCGACTTTCTGATGCACGCTGGCGATGATCCAAATCACAACTACATATCGCTACGTAGCAGTCACCACGGGCGATGGGACACACTCATGCCTTGGATCCGGCCCGGCTGATGCGTTGTTGAGGCGGCCGATTCATGGCTCGGCACTGGAAAAGGGGAGGCTCATCCATGGCAAACATGGAGAGCCTGGCTCGCTCAATGGCAAATGAGGAGCTACCTGCTCGATTCGTCTTCATCACACTTGGCCATCACACCGCTTTTGCGGCGACTCTACATGGAAGTTATCATTTGGGCGACCATTCCACTGGGTGAACCGGGCGACCGTGACCTCGTCAATTGTCAATGATGCGTGCTACTTACTATATTCCCACGTGTCCCTCAGGAGATGCTATGTTGACAGCTGAAGCCCAGCATCATCCGAGACCAACTGGAGGAATTCTGGCCGTCTCCGGGCACGCGAGTCAAGAGGCTGAGAACATGGCTCTCCCAAGATTTTCCTCTACTTCTATTTTTTTTATCTCCGGAGCTAATAGAACGAATAGGCCCTCTCAAACATTTCAACATGACCCGTGTTTGAGAAGTTTTAAGATGGTGTCTCACATCTCGGTCAAGGATATCACAAAGGCACCAATGACAATGCCCCAGTCTCTTTGTCAAGGCTCACTTGGCACATTCTGCCGTGCATGGTACGCGATAATTGGACGACACGGGGACGAGATTCAACCTGAGTCGCGTGAGACATTTCTCGTGACGAGAAGTAGGTCTGTCTCTTGCTGGCTGCAGGGAATATGTGAATTGCCCAGGGCGCCACTACGAGAAAGCAAAGCAAATGCCAATGCATGCGACTTCCGGTTGGTGTTCCTTTTTGTCTCTGCAAATGAGGCTTGAACCGATTACCCGAGTGTGACGATTTGGAGGTGGCTTGCAGGTTGATTCAGATGCGCCGTCGTGTTTCTTGCCCTGGATACGCGCCTAATGGACGCCTCATTGCACATGGTCGATCCAGACTGCACGTCTACAGTACCTACATGGTGCAGAAATTGCTAATAATAACTTCTATAATCCGACTCTATTGAAGCGCCCTGTGTTTCTCAAGAGTAAAGCCGAGCTGTTGTTATTGCTGCATGTCACGTCAGTGCTCAACCTGGCGGCTAACCTGAGTGGCCTCACGGGGAGAAAGAGCCCGGACGGAGCCTCTTGATGGGACGGGATGGATGGGTGCATCTCCGGGATCCGGGCCACCTCGAGATGGGACCACAGATGGTACCTGCAGCAAGTGGACATTGATCCATTGTCCTTGAAGTGACCGACTGATGGTAGGACACGTGCGGCCTTCTGGCAGCTGCGTCCTGTACTCGAGTGAGGGTTTTGACTAGAGACATGGATGCTGCTGTCCGTGATTGATCGATTGATTGACTGACTAGCCTGGCTTGTTTGATTCATGAGTCTGTGAGACGTGGAGCTCTGTTCTTCAATGTCCATGGACCGTTGACCTCTACAGTAGCAGTGCTAATGTATGTAGTCTAGTGGGCCTCGTCTGCCGTGCATTCTCAGGCCATTCCATTCCATCCATGGACGGATCCATCCCATCTTGTCCAATCCATTCACTGCGTCTCCATATCCCTCCCGCCCAGAATAGCAGCATCATCCTGTTCCCTCCCCTGCGGCGTCTTCTTCTGTTTCTCTACCGAGACGACGCCTCACAAAATCCTCCGCTCGATGACCCTTGCCCCATCACAAGAGTACCCTCGAGGACCACCCGGCGCGTTTGACTGCGCTGTATCCGGCAAGGAGCTGGGCTTGGGGGCTTCACTGGTGTCCGGCGTCATAGCGGACCTGGAGCCTCTGATTGGGGGGAACATTTGTAAGGTCTTCGAGACGTCAAGGGGACCATGCCCGCCCAGGGGAGTCCACTTTAAATTAAGGCCACCCGCAGTTTGATATTTGGGCTAAATGACTTGTACTTTTGCTGCTCGAGACAAATCGTTGAAAAGGGCTGGGAAAACGTGCCAGCGCTAATAGAGGGTCATCAAAATCTCCCGTCGTTGAGCTAGGTATTATTCCGCAGTCCATGGTAATGAGCCTCGGAGCAACTCGCGTGGCTGACGTGAGGATCCTCGAGATGCATCTTGACACTACCTAACACTATCGTAGAGGCATTGCTCACTTACCCCCTTCAAAACACGGAACGAAACACGTTTTGACATTTTGCCCTCTCGATGGCAGTCCCCCTGACCAACAACTTTGGGCCGAGCGTGGATTCAGCCTTTGGCACTAGAACGAGCGTTGCCCTTTTGTAACGGGAGACACTTCTCGCAACGTCCCGTCATCCCGCCGCAGTCTGCGTTCCAGTCATGTTGCAGTTTCCGTTCCAGCTCCCACCCCAGGTTCTAGATCTTTGTGGCTTTTCTTCCCCTTCCCAGCCTCCTTGGAGTGTGGTAAGGTAAGCCCACGGTTTCTGTCTGAAACGACGGGAGCCGTTCGCCTGGCGTGGTCTAATCTTGGAAGAACTGTCTAATCTTGGTAATCTTGGGCTTTGCGAAAGAAGAGCAAAAAAAAAGCCATCGGGATAAATCAATCGATGGCGGAAATCAAACAACTTATCAAGTTTGTTCCCCGCAGCAGCCGCCCGCCTTGCGTCAACTTCCAAGCCCAGGAACCCGAGTCAGCCAAGCCCAAGCCCAAGCCCAGCGCCAGGCCAGGCACAGGTTCACACAGCTTGTGATCCACAGTTCCGCAGCTGGGGTGGCGCTCACATCGAAATCCATCCAGTCGACGATTTTCCCTCCTCACAGAAGAAAGGCGCCTCCTCATCTTGTTAGTGGCAGTTAGTGGAAACCTGACCTCGGCGCCGGGGGTGGTAACACTTCCTCGTGCCCTTTCTTGGGGACCACCGGCCGCCGGGTTACCCCTTATTTCATTGTTCCTGTCAATGCCGTCAAAAGTATCCTTCCTGCATCAGGACATGATGCTCTACCTATTCCGACTAGGCGCCCGGGGGGAGACTCCTCTTCTGTCTGTGCGATGAAGGGGGGTCATTCTCTGGCGCCAGCTCTCGCTCGCGAAAGAAGAGAAGGGGTCTTCTGTCCCCCCCCTTGACCCTTGTCCTACCTGACCCGTTGCTCAGAGCTGTTGAGCCAAGTGGACGAACGACTCCATCGTCTCAACCATCCTACGTGCTCAGCCGATCTCTGCTGGGGTCGAATGTTTGCTTGCCCTGAATCACCACAAAATCTGCTGTAGAAAACGGTGAGACGACGGACCTGTTCCATGTCCCCGGGGGATGATACGTAGAGATAAAACCTGCCTTGAGGTTATCAAGGCTAAAAAAAGGAAGCGTGGAAAGTCAATGATTCAAGCATTCAGCTATTACCGTTTTGGCGGCCGTTTCTGTTGCCCGTTTTTTTTGCCCCCTTTCCGAATTGGGTGGCCGCACTTTTGGTGCAGTTCGGGTGCAGTAGTCAGTCCAGTCATGGAGGCAGGTGCAATAGGCAAAACCACCAAATCAGCAAATCTCCCCTAGGTCGTCTCTCCAGAGACGACAATCCCTACCTCCCTTTTACCTCCAACATCCCTTCAGCGCGGGCTTTCTCTCCCTCTCTCTTCTACTGCTAGCTGCTCTCGACGATAGAGCATTGTATTGTATTGTCCCTTCCATGCCCTTGTCCGCCCTGCGTCCGCTGCCGCCGTTCGCTACAGTGCCCGTTGCCGCCCGTTACGCCTGAGGTCACCTTCCCGTCTCCAGTCGCCGGGCAAATCCAAATCCACCTTTTTTTCTTCCTTCGCGACCTTCCTTGCGACAAGGCTTCCATCCCAGTCGAGTCCTCTTCGCCTGCTTCAACCCCCAGTCAGCAGATACCAAACTCCACACCCACCGAAACCCGCACGTCAACCACGCAGCAGTGGCCCTCTGTCTGCTATTGATACTCCTGTCTCTGCTATTACTACTACACTACCTACGCTGTACAGTGCCAGTGCAGACTGCGCCTGCGCTGCGCTTGCGTTGTGCTCCGTTGTATCGCGGTTACAGTTGCATGTAACCTTGCTCGGGACTATTCCCACCGCGCGCCAGCCGGCATCTTCGAAACCTCACCGTCCCGGCCTGTAACCCATTGGCTGATGCATGCCTCCCGGTGCATGACAAAGACGTAGCGCACCATGTCGCGGCTTGCGCTCCAGAGTGCTCAAGCCTCTGCTTCTGCCTCTGCTCCTGCTTCCGACTCTGTCGATGCTGCTACCACAACACCAGTCGAAACCACCACCCCAGCTTTCAGTTTCGATCACCACCAAAACCTCAACCGCGCCGCCTCCCCCTCCGACGTCCCCGTCGATGATAGTCCAACCGTCGGTCGCATCATACACTCTAACCCGGCCGTCCCGTCCCTCGGCTCGTTATCCTCGTCGGGTCCTAGGTGAGTGAGCATGTTCGTCCCAAGTCCGCTCTCGGTCCCCTCTCCACACGCCCCCCCCCCCCCCCCCCCCCCCGGCCGTCGCTGACCCCGGACCTTCTCCTGGCCCTCTTCGCCGTTGCCTCTCACAATCTCTCCTCTCCGCCACACATCTTTGATTTTCGTCATCTTTCACCATCAATTACCTCCCCTACCTCGTCCTTCTTTACCCCGGGTTGAATGTTGTGCGAGGCGAACATTGTACTTCGTGCGCACTCAACCTGCCTTTCCACACAGGCCCGGGTCCATCTTGCGCTCTGCCGTGCAACATTTCACTGTGCTAGATCATCTGTCGCCTTTCTGACACGCCTGGATATCTAGATCCCCTCGGCCGGCCATCTCCAGTCCGCTTGCAACCTCGCTCAACTTTCCATTCGGGCCCACGAGTCCCAGTCCCAGATCCATCAGTTTCCCTCTTCGACAGACTCCAACGCCGACTTCTCTAGCCGAGCAGGCCACCAAGAAGACGGCTATTGTACGACAGACCTCGTTCTACAGCGACTCATCCGACGAAGGATCACCAGAACCCCGGAGCCCTAGGTTCGTCTCAAAGGCAGTGGTGCAGTGTACCACGACCATCCGGCCTCGGGCGCCGCAGACTAACACCATTCTACAGACTGGGCTATCCAGGTAGTCCGAATGAGTTACGAACCGTCTCTGACCCCGTGACTTTGAAGCCTTCCCCAGGCTCAATCTCGAATCCCCGGCCGGCCATGGCTGGTCCGGTAGCTGCGACTCAGGCCGAGTCCTCAAAGTCCATGCCTCGAAACTCGTCCATCGACTCAGCGATTTCTGCAATCTCAATAAAGTCGGGCCCCAATGGCAACCAGGATGCTCAGCAAGGCGCCTCTGACATTGCGAACCTCATCAAGACGGCGGGAAGCCCCGAGGCAGTTATCCAATACCTGCTCAAGGAGAAGCATTCTCAGTCGCAGCAAAATGGTCAGCTGTGGCGCCTGGTCGATAAGCAGCGAGCCATGATCCTCGGTCTCAACAAGGATCTCGAAAGAGCCTTGAAGGACAAGGAAAAGTACAGGAAGAAGCTGAAGGAGGTCATGTCTATTCCGGCTGTTTCCCAGACCCCCAGTGGGACTGGAAAGGCCCCAGCTCAACCTCCTAGGCCCTCCGCCCCCGGAGTCGATATCGAGCGAACGAAGGTGCAGGCAGTCACTCCAGATTCACCAACTCTCGAATCTGACAGCCCGAAGAATTCCCCGATTGATATCAGCATGGCACCATATCCGATTACACCACCAGCTGACCAGCCCAGTGCTCCTCATTCAGCAGTGAGTGAACTGTTGAATCCTGCACACTCGATGCCAAAGCCTCAGGATCACGCTCTAGACAAGTTCGACCACGAGGCAGAGGAGAGGGCCGCCGATCAGGCCCGCAAGGAAAAGAGCGAGGAGCCTCTCAAGGACATTGCCTTCAATATTTCCATTCCTCCATCGCGAAGCCTGCCTAGCGACCCTCCGAAGATGCCACCGCCAAAGCCTCCGACTGGACACCTCCCGACTGTTGCTATTCTCGAGGCGACGCCCAGGACTGATGAAGGATTCTCGCAGTTCCCAGCGCCCCCGCCGAGAAAACCCCCGCCTGCGCCCCTTCAGTTGGTTCAGGATAAGAGACCAAAGTTGAGTCCTTCGCCCGAGGAGGAAGAGACAGACTCCGACTACGATGATATCCTGGAAGTTGACGAGATTGTTGATGATCGACGCGGCCGACGAAGAACGCGGGAGGAGGACGACCGGGAGCGAGAAATCATAGCCCTTAAGGAAGCGGCGGCACGCAGTGCATCTAAGAAGAGCAAGTCTAGCCAACCTGGATCCCCCAGGGACGTGCCTCAAGCATCTCAGTCAGAGTCTGAAACAGCCTCATTGGCACAGATGCTTAACGCGCCCAAGGCAAGGGAGATCCCTGCGCCTTTATTGAGCCCTGGCTTGCCTGCCAGCCCTCGCCCTTTCAACATGAGCTCGCCACCTTTGTCCCCAAGGACCGCACCCTTCCAAGCTGCGCCTTTGTCACCGCGACCCCCTCGGGCGCCTATCCCATTGCCTCCAAACACTCCCTTGGCAACACCGGGAGCGACCCCAGCCAGGACACCAGCGACCGCACCTGTTACCGAGGATCCTACATCACCGAAAAAGCAGCCCGCACAGGAAGAGAGTGTTGGCTACGCGGATAAGCCATCGACGAGAATGTCAACTCCGACCGATCGAACAGAAGTCTACAAGGGCTTGGTAACGGAGGAATATCCTGATCTTCTCCTTCCACCCAACGCTCTCCCCTCTGTCGAGGTCAAGGTGGCCTCATCGCGAATGAAGCCATCCAGAGCGAGCATGCTATCGCTCACGCAGCTCGAGGAGGACCCCGTCTTCACTCTCGCCGTCCTTTCACGCGCCGATAATGGCGAGCTCTGGCGGGTCGAGAAGGACTCGGCGTCACTGATGAAACTGGACCAGCGATTGAAGCAATTCTCTTCATACAAGGCAAGGATGCCGGAACGTTCATTGTTCAGTGGACATGCACCGGCCAAACTTGATGCTCGGAGGGCGATTCTGGAGCAATTCATGGATGACCTGCTCAACACTCCATTCGACACGAACACAGCCGTTGAAGTCTGCAAGTACCTGTCGACGAATGTGCTCCCGCCCAATTCTGATGATGCGGGATCTATCGGCGACTCAGGATCTGAGGTCAGTGGCTCCAAGACTGGAGCTGATGGACGGCCTCGGCGCAGCGGTTACTTGACCAAGAAGGGCAAGAATTTTGGCGGGTGGAAGGCAAGATTCTTTGTTCTCGATGGGCCGCATCTGAAGTACTACGAAGTACCTGGTGGCGCTCACTTGGGAACCATCAAACTTCAGGGTGCGCAGATTGGCAAGCAATCTCAGAGCAACGACAATCAATCCCCGGCTCGCGGAGCCACTGGCGACGATCTTGACAACCAGTTCCGTCACGCGTTCCTCATTCTGGAGCCTAAGAAGAAGGACTTGAGTAGCCATGTCAAGCATGTGCTGTGCGCCGAGAGTGACAGGGAGCGAGATCGCTGGGTAGAGTCGCTTCTGCAGTGGATCGATTACCGCGACCCAGACGACTCTGAGCCCCCTCCTTCAAGAAGTGGCCCAGTTCATGACCGACAGACATCGTTGGGTGAACGTGCAGGCGGAAACAAGGTCCGAAAGGGGCCGAACAAGTCTCATCACCATCCTTCCGACTCGGATACCCTGATTGGTGTTCGCTACGGTGACACTCAGGCTGGGGATGCTCCTCAGCTTGCAGCCCCTGCGACTCCTGCGAGACCCAAGACTTCTGGCGGTCTGCCTGATCACCATCACCACCACGGTTTTGATAGCCTGTCCTCGCAGACTGGCAAACTCATCTCGGGCCCCAAAGACCCACAACCTATCTCTGATGCTGGTGCTTGGGGCAACAAGACAGGTCTGTCGCTTCCAACCAATGATGAGAAGAAGCAAAGGAAGCGAAGCTTCTTTGGGTTCGGCCCAAAGACACGCTCTTCCTCTGAAGGACAGGACTCGCTGTTCGGCGGCAGTGAGGGCGGCTCCAACGCGACGCCGCCGCAGAACGCATATCAAGGTCCCGTTCGACAAGCCTTTGGAGTTCCCTTGGCAGAGGCTGTTAGATTCAACTCACCCACGGACGTCAACGTGCCTGTCCCGGCTGTCGTCTACCGATGTATCCAGTACCTGGACGCGAAGGACGCTGTGCTCGAAGAAGGAATTTTCCGACTCAGTGGATCCAACGTGGTTATCAAAGGGCTCCGGGAGAGGTTCAACACTGAGGGAGATGTCAACTTGGTGACTGATCCCCAGTACTACGACATCCACGCCGTTGCTTCTCTGCTCAAACTGTACCTGCGAGAATTGCCGACGACAATATTGACAAGAGAGCTTCACATGGAATTCTTGTCAACGATTGAGATTCCGGATCACACCAAAAAGATTGACGCGATGAATGAGCTGGTTCAACGGCTTCCCCAAGCCAACAACACCCTGCTCAAGTATCTGATTGGCTTCCTGATCAAGATCATTAATAATGCGGACATGAATAAGATGACTGTGCGCAATGTCGGTATTGTCTTTTCACCCACGCTCAACATTCCGGCACCCGTCTTTGCCATGTTCCTGCAAAATTATGAGGGCATCTTTGGTATTGATCCCGAGGTCTACGAGCTTCCATCACCCATCTCCGAGCCTGACCTGCACGCTGGCTTCCCTGATGCACCGCCACGATTCGAGCTCCCTACTCGACCGTCTACATCAGGAGGCGCCTCTCCTCATGGACAAATGCGCAGGGATCCGATCCAGAACTCGAAGCGATCCACCCCTACGCCTCCTCTGTTGATGAACAATCCTGCAGTGCGGGCGTCTCCTCCATCGAGCGCCTCTAGACCAGGCTTCGACCCTTCAGCCCACTACGACTCACGACCACTCTACGATGGCGGATATCGACCACCTTCTGGACATGATACCCGCGGTGGATATGACCGGCGTATCTACCAGGCTTCACACGAGGATCTCGGCAGTGCCTCAGCAGCGTACGACCAGAGCTTTGTTCCTAACCGACGCCGCGAGAGCGCCATCTTCATGGGTGGCATCGTGGGACCGCACCACCAGGGATCAAAGAGTCGCCTCCGAGAGGAAACGCGATTCTAAACTGTACATGTGACTGGTGTTTTCTGTGTTTTGCTATTTGCAACATACCATACCCACTCGTTTTGACACGCGATGATACCAATTTACGACGATTCTATACTATTAATATTTTTCTCATTCTTTTTGCATCCTGGAGCAGAATCAACGGTGCCTTGAAGAGGCTTTATTGTTACAATTCGGAGTGCTATTTGCCTTGTTTGTCTTTGGTTTGAGGGGACACTCTTGGTTGCTTTTGCTAGTTCACGAAGAGGCTGCCTCGAAAGAGGAGAGATTGGGGAGATAGCACGTGTATAATCAGCATGCGAGACCCTGCAGCGGAGTTTCAAGAGTTTCAGGATGCCGGGGAGGCTGGGTGGTCTGTCTGTCTGTCCGTCGTTGACAAGGACAGTTGAAGTATTTCGACTTAGCATGGCGTTTTGGATAGTTTGCAAGCCACGTCAAGTTGGCCTCGTCGTGGATGGGCGTTGTTCATTCATTCATTCACTTTGGGGACGATTGACGACTCTTTATGCGAGCAAATATGTTTGTTTTGGATACTCTCGGCAGACTAGTAATGAGAAATGTCTCCATATACACACCATCTTTTACTGATTAGTGATGCATGATATTGAAGTTGTCTTGGTAGAACAAGGGGAGCGGAGGATAGGAGGCGATGCTCCGACGGCAGCTTAGTCATGCACCCTTTTCAAGGTAGTCCCTCCCGGAAACGTCGGAGGACGGGGCCAAAGATTGCCGTGCTCTCCATCGCAAGCGTCATGAACGGCCAAATTCGAGACTTTACCGGCCGACATTATCGACGAACCCCCGATGGAATTGGATCCTCGACTCGGAGTAAGCAGCGGCGAACGAGCCTCTTCATTGACCAACAACGCCGACCGAATCGCTAAGGCGTCGCCGTCCCGCCATGAGCCTCTTAGTGGCGCCGCCCTGATGTCGCCAGCTCACGACGCGCGCCATGACGCCGTCGACAACAACGGCGACGGCGCCGATACACCCGACGCGCCGACCGGTCTGACACCACAACAGCAGCAGCATCACGACACCGATCCCGATGGAGGGGACGCCAAGAGGCCAAGGGCATGCGAAGCGTGTCGTGGGCTCAAGGTGCGCTGCGAGCCAGACCCCAACGACGAGGGACCCTGCAAGCGATGTCGCAAGGCTGGGAGGAGCTGTGTGGTCACCATGCCCACGCGCAAGCGCCAGAAGAAGACGGATAGTAGGGTCGCCGAGCTGGAGAAGAAGATTGATGCCCTGACGGCAAGTCTACAAGCGAGGGCTGCGCCGCCCGGGGGCCACGGACACGGCGTTGGGGGCTCGCCGACCGTACCACACAAGCCCGATCCTGCTACCGCTGCGACCCCGGCATCCGCCTACAATATCTCGTGGAGGAACCCCAACCAGTCCCCCGCCTGGGGGATACCTACACCATCACATAGTATCATGTCTGCAGCGGCAACGACGGAGCAGGGTGGGAGGCCGGACCGACCATCCCCCAGCCAGCCGATGGGGTCATCCAATACGGCGACGGCTGGGCAGAAGAGAAAGTTTGAAGGTCGCCAAGGTCCAGACGAGCAGCAGCAGCAACAGCGTGCAGAGGAGACGCCAGCAGAGGCATTGGCGTCGTACCTGACGAGAGCAAAGGGAGGCGACATTGTCGAGCGCGGCATCATCAGCATGGAGAAAGCTGCTGAGATGTTTGCGCGGTACAACGACCACATGATCTTTCACCTCCCCGCCGTCATCTTCCCGCCGGGCTTCACGGTGGCCGAGCTCCGCAGGACCAAGCCAACGTTGTTTCTGGCCGTCATGGCTGCTGCGACGGCTGAGTCGCCCGTTCTCCAGAAGACACTGCAGAAGGAGCTGATGCTCGTCTTTGCTGAAAAGGTGATGCTCGCGGGCGAGAAGAGCCTCGAGATGGTGCAGGCACTTAACGTGGCTGTCATATGGTACTGGCCTCCGGAGCATTTCGAGGAACTCAAGTTTTACCAGCTGGTGCACATGGCTGCCGTCATGGCCATTGACATCGGTCTCGGCCAAAAGGTCAAGCAGCGCCGTGGCAAGGTGATACCTGATAGCTGGCGCACCGGTCCCCTTATTGGCCCGACTCGGAGATGGGCTCCTCCGGATCCAACGACAATGGAAAGTCGTCGGACATGGTTGACGTGCTACTTCTTGGCGGCCAACACGTCTATGGCTCTGCACCGACCGAATCTCATCCGATGGAACCCCTTCATGGCTGAGAGTGTCAAGATTCTTCAGTCTTCACCAGATGCTGCGCCAACTGACGCCTACTTCTGCCATCTCGTCTGGACCCATCGTCTGTCTGAGGAGGTTGGCGTTCAGTTTGGTCTCGACGATCCCACGGCCAACATTAGTATCACCGACCCAAAGACCCAGTATACCCTCAAGGGGCTTGAACAGGACCTAAAAGACTACCGTGAATCCATCCCTGTAGACCTCCAACAATGTAAGTTATGTCCTAGTTCAGCCCCCTGGAACATGGATTGACAGACTTTAGCAACCCTTCAGATGAGCTTCAGTGTCTTGAGTCTGTACATGCACGAGATGGCCCTGCATTCAACTGCCGTGGAACCCCTGAGGCCTCCCTTCTCAGCCGACTCCCTCCGCGATGGCCTCGTGAACAACGAGAAGCTCACGGCTGCCCATATTAGCGCAATTTCTACATGCCTCAGCTCTGTCGACAGCCTTCTCAGTGCCTTTCTCTCCATGGACGTATTTAGCGTGCGCTGCCTCCCCGTCTTCAACTTTGTCCGCGTCGCCTACGCCGTTGTCATGCTCATCAAGCTCTACTTCTCGGCCTCGGCGCCGGGATCGGACCTTGGTCGCATCTTTAACAAGAACGACATGCAGGTCGGCCGGCACCTTGATGCCCTGCTCGACAAGTTCCGCGCCACGGCGGCTGATGACCGTTGCCGCCCCGCTGCAAAGTTCCTCGTCGTCCTTGTTATGCTGCGTAGCTGGTTCTACAAGCAGTCCAAGGCCGAGGCCAAGGAGTCGGGTTCTGTTCCTCCTGCGCAACAGCAGCAGCAGACACCCACTCCAATTAATAACTCGTCGTCGCAGCCTTCAGAGCGCCCTTCAACCGCAAACACCCCTTTGCAACTCCTCTCCGAAGTCGCTACAGGTGCCGGCGCCGGCGCCGCTCCCCGGAACCGTGATCCCTCCGGCGGCAGGCCCTCGGTACTCGGCTGGGGCACGGCCATGCAGCAGCCCCCGCAGCCATTCTTCCACGACAGCACCCAGTCGGCCGACACGGCCGGCTCTTCAGGTTCCTCCCTCCCGCCCCCGGGCCCGGCCACCATGTCCCAGCTCGAGCCGCCTCTCTCGGCAGATCTGGCCGCGGCTATGGCCCCCGTCATGCCCACCCTCCTACCTCCCACGTCGGGCGTCGGCAACGGCTTCAACGCCGCCGACATGCAGGACTTTAGCCTCGCGCCCGGCTGGGACCTCGAGGGCATGGGTATGGGCATGGGCTCACAGGGTATGTGGGAGGACGGCATGCGCATCTTCCTCGACGAGCCGTGGTTCAACGACGTGTTCCAGGGTCTACCCGGGTCTGGCAACATCTTTAGCTTCTAGCCCGGTCTTTTTTTCTGATACCCGTCGTCGTCGCCGCGAAAAACGGTTGACGCCTTTGCCGCCTGGATCAAACGATGTAGACTTTTTTCCTGTAACCTTTTTTAATCCTTCAAAACGCCCCCCTCCCCCCTCCATCCTCTGGAACGCTCCCGAGTCGCCTCCATGCACGATGCAGCCAGCTGCACGCTCCGGAGTTTCCGTCTTAGCGCTCGCTGCGGCATGTGGGCTTGCACGTGGGGAGAGCGGTGTGTGGTTGTTGTTCTTTTCTTGGTCAGGTTGATGGATGGATGAGTTGGCCCAAGGGGAACCAAGGGCTCAGGACACGCAAGCGGGCATATCTTTTGACAAGGCTTTCACATGCTTTTTTGGGCGCTGGAGTCTGGAATGGAGTTGGGTTGAGGTTATCAATGGTGTTCTAGTTACCCCCCCTTTTGACAGGTCTAGGGCTGTATTAGCTTTGTTGTTCTATCTCCCATCAACCATGTACATGATAGTTATCAAGTAGGGCTCTGAACAGATACTGTAATCGTTATCATTACTTGGCTGGCCAAGGTATCACTCTTCGTCACTGCATCACCGTTGGACAATTCAAATGGCATCAAAGACCAGTTCCCATTCATTCTAGTTGGTCTAGACCTTGCCCTCCGCGATCAACGCCTCGGCTATCCTCCATCCCTCCTTGATGCCCCCTTCCAAATAGTTACCAGCCCATTATCATGGACAGCCGCCGCCTAAACTCCGCCGCTTCCTTGACTCGACGTTTTGAAGTGGCAAATGCCCTTCTTGACTATTTCCCCCCTGATAACATTTCCTCCCATTGCCGGTTGATAATTGATGGTCCTACACGTGCTTGACGTACCGGTACTCAAACACGAAATCATAAACGCCAGCAACCAATCACCAAGTCCAAAACTCCCCATGCTCGCTAGTTGTCGTAGTGTATTTGTCGTCAGTGTGACCCTCCACCAGTTCCATCAGAGTATGCTCTGCCAAATCATTCCGTCTTCTTCATTTCCTGTACGCCATCCGTAGATTCCGTGTAGGCTGCATATTTTGAGCTCGAGTTTTCCAGTGTTTTCCGAGGGACGACATGTCCCAAGAAGCTTTCCTTGCTTGCAGAACACATCAAAAGCACAGAGAAAGTAGCCATGTGTTGAGCGAGAGGGATCTCCTTGGAGGGAAAATTGGCTGAATGTGCAGAGACTGAATCAAGAACGATATTGCCCAGTGCGGTCCATGGTGAAAAACAAAAAAACAAGCCCAAGACGGCTATTATAGGCGTCGGACAGTGGTGGCCAAGTGGGCGGGTCGTCGTCATTGTATCATCATCATCATTTTGGTCGCGAGACTCTGGAACCTGTGTGTCACCACTCAGTCCATGTAAAAGTCTCCCTTCAGGATTCTCTCCTGGAAGGCATCCGGCTTGGGCCGCTCAGCCTGCTTTGGCTGATGCTTGACGGATGCAGCTTGGACTGGTGGCTGGGGCATCTCGGAGACGGACTTTGCCCGATCGTGGATCGAGTTGCCGCGGGGTGGAGAGGTGGACGCAAGCGAGAAGGAAGGACGAGCACCAGTGACGGAGCTCTCGGCGCGAGACCTAAGCTGCTCGGACCAGTTGAAACCTTGCTGGTCTGGGCGCGAATAACTGTCAGATGGGGCTCTTGGATACTTGGTGTTGCTTGCCTGTGGGAGAGAAGAGGCGATGCTTGGACGGCGTGCCGACGACAGGACGGCCGAGATGCTCGACCCCTGCGCAGGTGATGCCGCAAGCGACGCCCTTCTTCCACCATGGGCCGTTCGCCCATTCTGAGAGGAGGGAGGAGAGGATGGGCTATTACCATTTCCGGGACTGCCGTTGGGGCGAATGTTGCTGCGCATGTTGGAAGTGCCGAAGCTCATTCGTCGGACGAAAGGCGTAGTGGGCGCGGTCTTAGCGGACCCAAAGAACGCATCGTCGTCTTCAATGGCGTTTTCGTCAATCGAGTCGGAATTGTTCGAGTTGGTCGACATGCTGCCCCGTCGGATGAAGGACGAGTTGTTGGTGGGCGAGGTGCCCGAGAGGCCAAGAGTGGTGACTGAGAGGCGTCGACGGCCAGTATCGACTGGGCCAGAGCCTTGGCCGGGAAAGCCGCTGCCATTGGGAACCGAGTTCCCTCGCTGGAACAGATTGGTCAGGGCGGCCTGAGTGATTGATCCTCGTCTGTTGCGTGTGTACATTTCGCCGTTGTTGGTGGTGGTTTGAGCTGTGTCGGTAGACATGATGGGTAAAAATTCGAGACTACCGTCGCCGGTAGTTATAGTCGTGGATACGGTGTAGTATGGGGAGACGCCTACGGCAGTGGCGCGAGAGTGGTTCGAGAATGGTATCAACAGCGTAACACGTGAATGTCAATTGTGTGATGGTGATGGGAAATATGTGGGCTGATGGACGCTGCTTGTGCAACAGAAACACTGGTGAAAATAATAATGTATGAGGATGAGAAGCGAGTAGATGGGCTAGAAGAGAAGAGAAGAGGGAAGAAGGGGAGAGTTTAAGCGTGCAAGGCGGTGATGGGGGCACCGAGGGGTTGATAAAGACGAAGAGGATGGGATGGGAATGGGACGAGGACACAATGTGAACGACGCTGATCAACTCTAAAACAGGGGAGCAGACAGCCTGTTCAATGATCAGAGATCGCCGTTACCAATTCTGGTCAAGCCCAACTCTGAAGAGGGGGAATCAAAGCCAAGTGGGCGGCGATTTCGAATACAGTAGCAGCGACACCGGCAGGCGGTGCAGAGACGACGGATCAGAGTCAGCGTCAGAGTAAGAGTCAGTCCAAGCTCCCCGAAATCGAGGGGTCGATGAAAGTCGAGAGCCAGAGGGGAAAGACAAGCCCCCATTCGACCAGGGGTGTTTGGTTAGCCCCGGCGAACGCTTCAACTTGGTCGCTGCAACTTGGTCGTCAGTGGACGTGTCGGCTGGCGCTGAGATGCGCTTGCATTACACGGCGGTAGGTACGTATCGACTAGCCTCTGAGATGGGGCCTGAGACGGTGGGCGACGTGGGCGAGACCTGCGGGAGAGATGGGGCAAGATTGTGGACAAGACGGGGGGAAGATGGGGAGAATGGCAAATGGCCTGGGGGGTAGAGTGACGTCGTTCGTGCTGAGTGGAACCTCACGCCGCGATCGGGCAAGGGTTGGTCGGTCTGGCAGTCAATCCCCTGTAGGCGTCTGCTGCAGCTGCGTCTGCTTCTGCGAGGAGGGTTGCCTTCAGGGTTCAGGGCTCTTGTGGGACGAGGCCCTCCAGTCCAGTAGCATAGGAATGGCAATCGCTTTTAGGTGTTGGCTCTGTCTTGTCTCGCTTCTCTTTTTGAGGCTGACTCTTGGCCTGTCTGGGGTGCAAGTTGGTGGAGTGCTGCTCAGCTGGAGGTTGTATCTCGGGGTTTGTCAATTCGACTCGAGTTTCCGGCTCCGAGTCTCCGTGGATGTGATGGATTGTGGCAGTCTTTCCATGTGCTTTTACTGGTCCCGTTTTGCTGGTACTTGGTGCGAATCCCTGACCCTGGTCCTGGCCTGGGCGGCAAATCTGACGTCGATGGTGTTTTGGGGTGGTGGCTCAAGATGTGTTTGTTTGGCATCTGAAGATGCAGGCGCAAGAGGCGTTTCGAACAGCAGAGAAATGGCCTGACTGTTCTCTCCTCTTTGTCAAGGGAGAGTGAAATCTGTTGAGCAAGGTGACGTGAGTGAATGAGAAATGAAGCAAAAAGACCGACGAGGAAGCGAGACAGAGAAGCAGGTACCAAGGGTATCGAATGATTTCTGGAGTTGCCCGCAGCCGTTGAAACAATGACAAATGTGTACATGTGCTGTACTTCAACTACTTCCACGAGGAAGGACCGATGGTCCCGAGAGGCACGCACTCCCTCCAATGCAGACACTCCTCGTATCATCCAAAGAGGTAACGAAGGGGAAGTGGAAGGAGCAGCCAAGGGACCATGAGGTATGCGGCTGACGTCTAACCTCCATTCCCATCCGCCAATGCATCACCATGTCTCTATTTCCACAGTCAAATGTTTTGTTCCTGTCCGCGATTGACGGGAGACGATTTTAACCACTTCTAGTTAAATCATCACTCAACAAAGTACCTGGCAATCGGTATCCTTAGACAAAGAAAACCCAAATGAGGGGACGCACGGCAATCAACAGCATTCCCCGGGCGCCTTACCAAAGACTCCGAGTTAAGTTGTCTGGTACCACCTTCCTGGTTACAGTTGTCTCCCACCTCTAAAGTCTCCTTCCCTTTCTGCATGGCACCTGCCTGCTGCCTCTCCTCTGAGTTTCTGCATGGTACCTGTCATAATCACGTGGAATGCGTCGTCATCCCTTTCTGCCAATTTCCATCTTCAAGCCTGAGTTGTCCTCATGATAACCTTGAGATAACCTCCAAGCTCAGCTGCTGCAGAGTGCGTATTGTGGCGCCCTGGATCCAGCGAGAAGGCCTCTTGTGCAAAGCACATCTGACGATTTGGATTGCCGCCCGTCTTAGCATCTTGCATCTTCGCCTGCATTCTTGGTCCCTACACACTCTGCACTTCTGCATCCATCGCCTACCTGCCCGACTACGAAACAAACAGATGGACCTCGCTCATGGCGGCTCAGGGCAGTGTGGGACCCCCTGTTGCTCCCCGGAGCCCACGGCTCCACGCAAGCACGCACGCACGCACGCTATCGCTAGCGTAATGAAGCCCGACTGCGGAGGACGGGGGTGCCAGAGGGTCCCCGAGAGAAGCCAATCGCAGACGGGACAAGACGCCTCGTAGGGTCCTCGCAGCGCCTCACAGTGCCCACAGCGGGCAACGCCTCCAGGGCACCGACGTCACCCACGCGCGCTGGAGATGACGGTTTGCTTTTTTTGCGGGGTAGTAATCAAGCAAGCAGATGAAGCGCTGAGACAACCTCGCATCGCATGCAGTTTTGCCCCCAGGCTAAGGGTCATCTGGCTTGCTGACCTGTTGGTTTGGTTGCTTCGCCTTCCAGGTACAGAATGAAGTCGACAGCAAAGCAACAAGCAATGAAAGGGAAAGGGGGGCTCGTTGGAGGCCTTCATCCCAAGAGTTGGACGCTTTTGCTTTTGCTTTTGCTTTTGCTCGCGTACGCACAACGGTACGCTACTACATCACCTACTGTATGTCGACACGCAGGCAGTCACCCAGTGTTGATCGCTGTACAGTACCAGCAGCGCAGCCCACAGTTATCGAAGGATGAAGACCTTGGAGGGCAATGATGGGGATGGGTGACGCCTCCACAAGCTCTCGTTCGGTCAGCGCCTTTCGCGTCAGATGAGACCATGTGCAGGACGCCATCACCATCAGTGGTGGGAGAGGAGTTGGTGGGTGATGATGATGGCTGGACGTAACTCAGAGGCGATGGAGCAAGCACACAACTCAACCATCTCAACTTCATCATCAAGCGACGGAGGTGCGTGCTCCCCTGCTATTCTTGGGCAGTCGTCAAGACGCTCCGGCACCTCCTCAAGTTGCCCAACCAACTCTGGCCAAACTATCCGCACCACCACGCCATTTCTTTGGACATGACTCTTGTCAAACATCTGCCACACAGTCTCGCTGGCGTGCTAGCGTGCGGCATCTGAGATCAAGTGATGCTACGATGGTAACCTCCTGCGAAGATGCGATCAGCATCCGTCCATGGCTGGGGTGGGAGCATGGATCCTTCGGCATTCATCAGCATTGCGGTCCGCCATGGGGTTCGTCACCATCACAATGTTGACTGATTAGGACCTCAGCCACGGTTTACGAGCCGAGAGACACCACATTCCTGGATTCACCAATGGCTCTTGGTGGTCTTTTACCCCTTCTGCATGTTCAATTCCTCATTCTTTGTTCCATTGCCCTTCTCTTTCTGATTTACCCTTTTCGCTTTGACCTGTCGCAAGGCTAGTGCCAACTCTACCTCCAGCTACCTTGTCAATCCCCTGCAACGAACTGTTAGACTGCGTGTCGATGGCCACGTTCTTCATCACCTCATGTGGAACGCACGGCCATAGCACGCTCGATGGCTTCACGATCCGCCAGAAGCCACGCTCATCCCTAACGCAACGCTTCAGTTCTCCGCTAAGGCAGGAAGGCTGCTCCCCGTACGACAGGACAGGCCTGTTGCTGGTCTCTCTCGTTTCTCGGCCCCTGGGCCAATCATCAATCGTACTATTACCCCGCGTCCATGCACCAGCTCCCGAGACCGGCTCACGGCACCCCAGCCGATGCGTTGGCGCCTCTGCTCGCTTCCTGCTTGGCCTTGACCTTGACCTTGACCTTGGGCTAGATTCCTCACACCCACACACTTTAACACCCTTTTCTTTGCATTTGGAGTGCTAGATTTAGCTACTGGTTCACTCCATTCTACGACGCTTTCGGTGTTGAAGAGTGCTCATCACTCAAGACCGTTCCAAGGCGCGCTCCAAAAGTGCCTGTGCATGGATGGATGGCCTATCTCCGCTTTCATTCACTAGTGAGCATGTCCCTTTGACAACGGAATGTGCAGACACCATGGCCTCTAGTCCTTTCTGCATCGTTATCAATCAACGGGACTTCAGATCTTCGAAATCCTACACCGGAAACAACCCATGTTATTTGAAGCCTTGAAGTCTTGGTCATCAGAACGAATACTTCTACTGTTCAACTGCCTATTGCATCCAGTTGGTTCTCCATCGCCGATTCCTTGTTCCACCCTTGCTCTCGCAGCTCCTTTCTCCCCAGTCTTGGCCTACCCCCCACCAAGCGATTCGCGAACTCGGTGGGCGGCGTGGCCCGCCTATCAGCTGTTGCGAGATTCTGATGGTGCCAGTTAGGGTGACACACTCGGACTGGAGACTCTCCACCGTGCCGCAGCGTGCAGCGTGCAGCTCACAGCCGAGAGAGAACAAGGGAGATGGGCGGACGAGACGAGACGGACAGAACGGATACTGTACTGTAGCTGAATGGGGCGGGGCGTTCCTGGTGGTTGTGTGGGGGTGCAACAAGGTGTCGAAGCTGCAACACCACGACTTGGCTTGCTTCCTTGCGACAAGCCCGCCCGCCCTCTCTTGGGGCCAAGACGGTCTGGACCTCGGTGAGCTCTGCCGATCTGACAAGAACTGCCCAATGAATAGGGAGGTTTGTGCAGATTGCCGTGGAAACTAGCTGCGAGTGTCTGCATCCTCGAGGTTGTGGCATTCCCAGTGCTACATTGCCCTCTCGGGAGTTGAAGGTTGGGAATATCTGACCTCCCCCAACGTTGACTTGCTTGTCTGTTCTCTCCTCCTCCTTCTCAACCTTTTCCTCTCTCCTCTCTCATTCTCCCCTCCCCATTGCTCTCCTTGTTCCTACATCCCCATCACAACTCAGACTCTTCCAGTCTTGATCATCATTCCTCTCCTTCATACCTATCGTCGATTTGCTTCCATCCACCAAGAGACACGTCTTACTCACCGCCATTCTTGCATGCTTCCATTCTCCCCTATTATTCGCCCTCGCAGATCCACGCTGCATCGCTACTCCAGCATGAACCTCATGTCGCCTGTCGATGCGCCGCGTAGCCTCTAGGCTTCCGTCGGGGACTCGGCCCGCGCCGCCTGAAGTCATCTCTTCCACTCCTCCCCGGGGGCTGTGAAGCTCCTGCCCCCTTCCGCCGCCGTGACGTGAAGATTCAAATTTCGAGCTCACCGACCGTCTTTGTTGGGGCTCCCTCCACCCCTCCAAGAAGCCGACCATGCCGCTGCTTACGTTCAGCTATGTAATCGACTCACCGTGAAGAAACGAGTTCCATGAGCATATCATGTAAGTAGCTCTGCCATCCCACTCATATGGCCAGATGTCCCGGACCCCCCTCTCGCATGTGAAGTATCCCTGGATTTATGAAGCGCCGATCGCGGTCGAGACACTTCACTCCACCAAGGCGCTGTGATCGACTTCCCATCACAGCTCGATCGTGCAGGATCTTGTTGCGCTTGGCTGCGCTAGAGATGTGAGACATTGGTTAGGATGGTATGACCTTGGGGAGAAGCTGTTGTAGTGACAGCGCTCACAGTCAGTAGGGCGTATCGAACGAAGTCCAAGAGGATGGACAAGGAGGAACAGAGGGCTGATGGAAAGATGAGTTGGCGTTTAAAGGGAGCTTTGTTTGTGAGGCGGGAGACTAAAGTCAAGGTATCGAAAATGGAAGGATATGCGTGCGGTTCATACTGGGATGAAGGAGGCGAGATGTTGAAAGGGCATGCTTGTCCAGAATATCTTCAGCTAACTACTGAATTGATGAATCCCCTATGCCTGCAATCCTCTTCGTATTGAATTATTGTAGGCACCTGCTCTAGCATATCATATCATAAATATTCGTGGGTATCCCGGAATGTGTAGACATGGTCGTCAACTAACAACCCATCGCTAACAACCCATCGTAGCAACCAACAGGCTCATAGACAAGAGGAGGGAGTTGATGCAGCCCCTCAGTAGCTGTACACCGACCTATGCAGCTTGGACCCTTCTTTTCCCACATAGTCCGCATACTCCGCAGTCACTAGCGTTATAATACTGCGTGTCCTTACACGAGTCGCTCAAACATGCCCACGAGCCCGGTGAAGACGAAGGATCAAGCACGTTGGCACACATGGCACATGTGAGTGCCAGACCGAGGTTGGCGTACGAACACATGGAGCATGTTGTCTCGGCTGGGCTGTTACTCTCTAGAGAACTACTGCTCGCCTGAGCTGTTGCTGTTGTAGGTTGGCCGCGTTGACTCTCGACCGCCGTTGAACTGTTGCTAGAGGCATCGTGACGAGCTGCGGTGTGCCTTATGGGTTCTTTGATTCCTCCAGGCTCGTGATCGGGTTCTTTCTTGACCGCGATGGCCGGTGTCTTGGTTGAAGGACTGCCTTTCCGGACGCTAGAGTTTTGTGTCCTTATCGTCCTCAGAGCTTGCAGCTCGTGATGTTCCTGCTTGATCCCTCTGATCATGTCCCGAAGCTCTTTGGACTCGTCCCTCGCTTCGGGGTCATTTGCGTCTTCATCTTCGCAGACCCTAACCATCCCCCTTCCTTGTCCATCGACGAGTCTCTTGCCGTCGACATCAACCGCGTCCTTAGAGTCAGCTCCCGCTTCGTCTTCATACTCGCTGTCAGAGCCGGATTCCGTTTCGTCTTCGTCCTTGGTAGGTTCCGGCTCTGTCTTTTGCTTCTCGAAGCGAGCCAGTGCAGCCGCTGCTCGGAGCTCCCGTCCTCTCATGCTGCCGGCCACTCGAGGTTTGGCCTGGATCTTTTTTCCGCTCTCGAGCTTGACCTTGGTCTCCTCATCCGCTCCTAGTGCGACTCCATTCTTGCCAAACTTTTTGAGAATCCTCCTCTCTTTCCTCTCCTGATAAGATAGTTGCGGCTTCACTTTTCTCTTCTTCCGCGATCTGTATGTACCTCCACATAGGTGCTCTGGCAGAATGTCATCGGCGAGCACGGTATTATTCTCCCATGCGCCAGTAGCCAGGTTGGCACCTCTTCCCCAGAGACCATCACCAGTGTAGGCCTTGGACCACAGGTCGTGCATCTGGGCAGCGTACGAGTTGCGGACGGCCCAGAACGCTCGCGAGTGATTCATTTGCTTGCAATGGGCCAGCTCATGCATCATAACCATCTGGACGTAGTTAAACGGCAACCACCGCCCGGTACTAGGAGATTTGAGAACGAGCTGAACAACCTCGCCAGCGTTGAAGTTGCGCCCGACAAATTCACGATTAGGCTCATACTCCTCTAAGGAGGTTATATAGAGGTGGTGTTCTCTCATGATAGGGCCTTGTGACAAATGTTAGTGACAACTTGAAGATATGGGGTAAAGTAGTATCTTACGGCATTGCGCTGCTATTCTTTCGAGGAAATCCTGGGCTATCTTCTTGTCCGGGCCTTCCAAAGGCTTGATGAAGACGATGTTGGGATTAGGCTGCGACTTCTTCTCGTTCAGCCGCTGCCATCCAGCAACCATTGCAGCGAGCTAGTCGTGGCGACCAAGATTTAAGTCGATAGAGTAGCTGGTATGATGGTCTCCGATGGGTTGAAGCCATTCACGTTGGTTCAACAATAGAAGGGCACTCGAGTGAATGACGCAGGCTTGCAAGGGGTTCCTGAGTGGAGTCCGCGCTGGAGACGCGTAAAGTGGGAGATCTCACTGCGCGAGGTCATGTGACCCCTCCATTAACAGCGCCTCTTCAAAGAGGCCTTGGGCCTTTCGTCTCCTGAGCAGTTGAGATAGTTTAAGGAAGATGATTCTATCAAATCTAGAAAGTCTATTGGCGTAAATCATAATCTATCGCATGTCCCATCTCTTGGGCTTCTGCAACATCCAAGTCAAATGCTCGCTCCTATCCATGCTATCTGCTCCAACACCAAAAACACCCGCTAATGTCGCTATGCTGTATGCCTTTCTTAACCAAAATTCTCTAATCAGATGCTGCGCTTCTAAAATCCGATCTTGCTTCAACATTTGCGACTGCGCTTTGGAGCGCACTCGTCAGGTCGACGTGGAATAGGGGCGTGTCTAAACCATGAACCACTGCACCTCTCCGTCTCTGCTTCTCTAATTCTCCTGGCGACATGGCGCCATATGACTGTCCAGGAGAGAACCCACCAATCAGTGCTTCCTCTTCAGTTGGGTCCGTATGCCTGGGAAAGACGTCATGGTAGCTTGTTTCCCGAGCCAGCGCTGCAGCAGAGTCTTGCCCTCCAATTTCTGCCACACTAAAGATCGACTTCCATCCATGTTGGGCTCCTTCTCCATCTGGCTTTACTCCAAAGCCCGCGGATACAAGAGCTCGCTTTGTCCATCTATTGTTGATGCAGGCGAAGTGCCAGTCGACCATGTCAGGGGCAACGTACAAGTCGAGCTGATTTCGAATATCGATAAGTCGCTGGACAGAGGTAATGTCGACGTTGTTGACTGAGCTAAAATCCATGATTACCGCCTTCAGGGTTGGCAATCGAGAATCTAGGTCGACATGGGCTGGCCGCTTCGCAGATTTCCGGGGTCCTGGGTTGTTCCAAGGCCTATCCCCTGGTCGTTCAAACGCTTCTGGGCTGCTTCGTCGAGTCTTCGACTGGATAAAGTCGGTGAGATAATCCAATGACGAGTTTGCGTTTGGATAGTTGAAGCCTTCAGAGAAGCGGTAGATGAAGATTCCTGGATATGGGTGATCGACCTTGACTTCTGGATTAGAGCCATCGCCATGGTCAAGTGGCAAGAAAACGTTTCTCGCTGAAGTTTCTGGGTTCTCAAAGGTGCCATATTCCCCCACGACTTTTCGATGATCATCCCCAATGACGTGGTCGCCAATGACTGAGTGAACCTTGACTTTGCCGAGGAATCGGCCGTTGGCTTTGAGGATTCGATAGATAAGAACAGCCCCTGAAAGACAGACAGTAGAATACAACCCATCCTCGATCTGAGCAAAGATGCTGACGATCACACCAGTGAAGAAGATGAAGACTTCGACTGGGGAAACCCTCCAAAACTGGTAAATGGTGTTTGGCGGCGTGACGAGATCGCCAACCGCATGAATAATGACAGCTGCCAAGGCAGCGCTCGGGATATAGAAGAAAACGGATGTCAAGAGATATGTTGCAAGTAGAACAACAATGCCAGTGATGATACCCGCAGCAGGCGTCCGCACGCCGGCCTTGGACTGGATTGCCGTCCTACTAAAAGACCCCGTTGAGGGATAGGCACCAAGGAAAGGTCCGATGAGATTGGCCATGCCAATTGCAACCATTTCTTGTGATGGGTCAATCGTGTAGTTGTTGACCCTCCCAAAGGACTTGGAGATAGCGATATGCTCCACGAGCAATACAATGACGGTGGCGGGTAGGTGTGGTCCAAACTCAAAGATCAACTCAGATGTTATCCTTGGTACACCAACGTTTTGGAATCCTATAGTGTCATTAGCCTCGAGGCCCTTTACCATAGAATCAAAGCAGACTTACCCTTTGGAACAGTCCCCAAAATTCTGAAGAGGGGATCATCTTGCCTATCCATGTTGAGTACCCAACTGATAATCGTATACACCAAGATGACAAAGACGGTCCGCATTGTATTAGCGAAGAACAAGACGCGTTTGTGTTTCGGAAACCGTTCTGCCGCGGCGCTGAAGCTCATGCGAATGAAGTATAGGATACTCAGAGCCGACAAACCGACGACAGCATCGAGTCTTGCTTGAACGAGGTGCTTCAGTGTGTTGCTCAGAACTTGATAAGGAGATTCCCGGTTTGAGAACCCTGTCAGTCCCAAAAGAGCAGGCAACTGGCCAACGCAGATGGTGATGGCTGAACCGGTCATAAAGGCCGAGAGGGATGTGATGGAGATGAGATCGACTATCCAGCCACATCGGAGTAGTCCAATAAGAAGGACAACGCAGCCCGCGACGATTGACAAAGCCGATGCAATAACATGAGCTGGGATATCGTGTCCGGAGGATTGGATGTCTTGGATCACATTGCCAACCACAGTGGAGAGAACGGCGACGGGGCCAATAGAGATATCCTTGGATGTGCCGAATATCCAGTAGATTAGAACGCCGATGAATGATGAATAGAGGCCGAACTGGGGTTCCAAGTTTGCGAGCATGGCATAAGCCATTCCCTGGGGGACAACGACAGCACCGATGGTGATGCCAGCAACCAAGTCTCCAGCAAACCACTGCGGGTTATAGTGACCGATCCATGTCAAGAAGGGGAATAGAGAAGTCCCATATTCGGCCAACTCGTCAAGTGACGGGATCTGTTCTCGAAGCCATTCTGCTGATGTGGGCTCGCTCTCGTAGAAAGAAGTATTGCTCTGAATCGACAGAATGGATTCGCCTCTGGTGACCTCGTCCTGTGAGTCCGGCTTTTGGTCATCGAGCTTGATGCCTAGGACGTTGGCCAGGCCGAGGCCAAAAGTAGTGGCGCGGCCTGGCATCGGGACGGCTTGAATATGTTTTTCACGGTTCCAGAGTATAGGATATCGTTCAAGACATGAAATGAATTAGTTGAGAAGCGGTGTGTAAGTCTCCGTTGACGCGTCTCAGTGAGTGGAGTAAATCAGTTATATGATGTGGGCTACTAGAGGTCTGTAACGTGTCGGCAGCGTTTCGTAAGAGGTCGTTGGACGGGGAGATCAGGTATATGATAGTAGCCGGGACACGTCGTGTAATATGCCAAGCAGCCGGGGAAAGCAACCAAGACCCCCATTCATAGCCAACTCCCCGAGACACGAGATGCAATCATCAGGGCAGGCTGGCGTAAGTGATTCGACACAGGAGCGTGGAGGAAGATAGGCCAACGAGGGTGATGTAGTCCACAAAGGGGTGTAGAGAAGATGTCCTGACGAATAGGACGGCAGTATATAGGTTGTTCCTAGTCTTGTGGTCTGGGGTCTCAGGTCAGCCCGATGACGAATATCGTGGGGATAAAGACGACATCGCGAGCCCAAGCATGGAACAATTAAAGAAATGGGGGAGAAGAGACGGGAATACGACTTGAGGTTTCAAGCATATGGATCTTGCGTCATGAAAGAAATGTAATCAATATTACAAAGCAAAGGAAAAATTCAGAAGAGTGAAATAGAAAGGCACAGGATTATTCCACTGGGAATGGCAAATTTCAAACCCGACGTCCATCTCGAGAGCCAACAACTTTCATCGGAGCATCGGTAGTCGGTCGCAAGGCCTTGCGAGGGTCCATCCAGCATGGAGGGGCAGATCGGGCCGTCGCGGCCTCTGCATTGGACGATGAGCGATGGTATTATCCATCTCTACCCACGCAGATGACGAAGTCGCGCGGCGCTCGGTCGGCTTGTGGGAGCTCTTTACTCTGGTGGTTTGCCTGGCATGATCGATGTCGCAATCGCCGCCTTGCCTTTCGCGGTAATAGCGCTGCCGTTTCCCGCGCCTACGGTTTGTGTGACCGACTGCGCAGGTGAGAGAACAACACCAAACCCCACGCTTCATGTCCAATAGTTGGTGGTTTGATTGGGGTCTCGGGGAATAGAAGCGATACTCTGGGTGTCATGACAAATGCTACCCATGTTTGCCGGTTTGCTGGCATACGGATGCGTCTGCCATGGCCATCGTGGAACGGACAAGAACTGCGAGCGGAGATCAGTTAATAGGATACATCTAGAAGATGCTTACAACTGTGCGGTCATGGCCAGGACTGTTAGATCTTGTCATGATGGCTTGAGAGTTCATCTTCCAGGTTGGAATGCTCCACAGGTTGATATTGTTCATACCAAAGTCACGAAGTCATGATGTGCCTGGAGAAGGAAGCGTCTGGGTGGGCCTCGATCATTCATGACTTTCTTTCTGGCGGCACGTGGAAAGAAACTCTGAACCCAGGACCCAGAAGCCAAGCCTGCAATATCTCAAACACACATTATTCCCATCAGCCTCACTTAAAAAGAACCAGGATCAAGCTGTGCGCATCTCAAAGTCGGCGAATCGGTACACCAACCCCCGACTGTAACCTTACCGACCTACGAAGTACTGCGCAGGAGAGCCCAATGGCCACCACCCCAGCCTCTCAAAATGGTCCTCATTCCAGGTCAGTAACAGCACAGTTGGCATCAAGTAGACAAAGAAAGACAGAATGCACGTTTGAACTTGAACACATTTGAAAGAAAGTCATTGCATTTGAGTCTCGCTTGCTTGCACTCGCAACGTTGTCGTTGGCCACTGGCTTAACGCGAAACAAACACGATGCGCGCACTTTGTCCCACCAAATATTGAAACCGCCAACACCATCAGCCCGTCAGCCAGCCTCCAGCCTCCCCGCTAACCTCTTGAGCACAACACAACTAGTTCCATGCTGATTTTTATCCTCAATCTTCACTCTGGCATCGCCATAGCCCTAATTAACCATCAAGTCTATCAATACTGAATTTCCCTCCCTCCCTCCCTCTCCATCTTATCCTCCGCAATCCTTCCATGCCCATCCAGCCATAGCATCGCAACCATGTCGGAGCCCTCCTCCAACGCATCCAACGCCTCCTCGACGAAGCCCGCGATCCCTTCGCTCCCCGCCTCCATCACCACACAGCTTCAGCCCCCGCCCTCACCACGAACTCACCGCGTCCTCCGCCGCCTCCAGTCTGCGCACACTCTTCGTCCTCAGAACCCTCCCTCCCTCATCTCGCAGCAGCGCCTGCGCGAGACGCAGACACAGCGCAATGTCTCACCCACCAGATCCTCCCCCGTGCCTGGCGCTGGCCCGTCAGCCTCGTCTGGCCCGCCCATGAGCATCAATCGCTCGCCTCAGCGCGGCCGCGCTAATAGCGATGCCACGCCCCCTCTCATCCACCAGATGAATGTCGTCACGGCCAGCAAGCGTGCCGGAAGCAAGAAGCCCGTCTTCTCGCATGGACATCTCTCGCTGCAACAAATCATCCGCGAAGGTCCCACCGACGGAGACTTCCTAGGCGCCCTGGAGAGTGCGCGATGGAAGGTCATTGATGGAGGAGTCAAAAGTGCTGAGGATGGCATGGTAAGATGAGCATTGGCATCTACTTCTCGCGGTCATTTTGCTAACGGCGCTCTCTCGTTATAGTCGACACTCAGGATATATGTCTGGCTGGTTCTCCTAGACGCTCCCATCCTCTCGACCGACGACTACCTCGCCCTCATCCACCGAGGCGCTTCTCCCGCCTACTCCAAGATCCGAAACGACACCTTCCGCACCCTCACAACAGATCCCCTCTTCCGTCGCCGTGTCAGCGAGGCCAGTTTGATCCGACTCCTCAACGCCATCGCATGGAAGCTCCACGATGCCCGCGAAGAGCAGCGCCAGAGTCGCCCAAGCAGCAGCCGCGCCTCTCTTCCAGGAGACAGCGCGTCGGGTCATTCCCAGGCCAGCACATCATCACCTACTGCTCGTAATCGAGCCCGCGCCCTGACACTTACAACCGAGGGTTCTGAATCTGGTGCGGGAGCTACGACTCTCGAGCCCGGTACCTACGTACAGGGCATGAATGTCCTGGCCGCCCCATTCCTCTACGCCGCTCGAAGCGAGGCCGAAGCCTTTGTCGCTTTCCATTCCCTTCTTACGCGCGAGTGTCCAGGATACATCCGCGGTGCCATGGACGGCGTCCATCGAGGCCTCGCACTTGTGGACAAGGTCCTAGCGATCGTGGATCCCAAGCTGAGCATGTATCTCACAGCCAAGGGGCTTTCGGCTGAGATCTATGCCTTCCCCTCAGTCCTCACTCTGTGCGCCTGCACACCACCCTTGCCTGAGGTGCTGCGGTTATGGGACTTTTTGTTCGCCTATGGGCCGCATCTCAACATTGTGTGCATCGTGGCCCAGCTCACCATTATGCGATCTCAAATTCTCCAATCACCAAGGTATGATTTTGTCCCGTCTTGTCCTGGTTGAAGTATAGTTCTGACACGATGATAGTCCCAACAAGGTCTTGAGATCTTTCCCCCAACTTAACGCCGATCTCGTCAAGTCCGTCACCATTGGCATTATTAAGAAGATTCCAGATGACGTCTATGCCGAGATTGTATCCCATGCTCTTTAATAAAGGGCATTGACTAGGGGTCCGAGCAACTTGAGATATCCCGAGGTACCTTGGTACTTTGCCTAGATACTGTTGTATGACACCACCACACCAAGCGAGACCACGAACCAACAGGGATCCTGGCCGCGACCTCACTGACGTGCATGCCGCCACGCGAGTCGGGGGGACATCCTCTATGCAAGGGGCGTGGCTCACAAACCCGAGGGTCCCGCAGCCTGGCCGGCGCCAACACCGCGCCATGCAAGTCAAGATAGACGAGCCGAGCCGGGCCGCTGCGTCTGCAACGGCGGCTCGATGTATTTATGTTTTTAACGGTTTTATGATTCAAGGTTCAAATGCGTAATGACTAGGGGGACACAGTACATATTTGTATGATTATAGTTTTCTGGCAAGGTTGAATGGATATGGAATGATAGAGTTGTCCTACAATGGATGACTTCAGGATGAATGAATGAATATATGAACGCTTTCGTCTATTATTAACCCTAAAGCCCGAGGCGTAACGAGGCCTCGGGTTGTTTCTGCTCATACACATGATTGCGTGAGTGTCTACTCTCGACACCTTCCCAGTCTCCAAGTTAACGCCGGTTTACATGCAATTACTTTTCGTCAAACGACATGAGGCTCCCTCTGGTCTATGCTGGACAATGAGAGCCAAGGTGATCTTTTGCTTTGGCCACCTCCATAGGTAGCATCCAATATACCAAACTGCTTGGTCGATGTAATGCGCCGAGTAGCGAGTGCCATTCCTCGTAAAGGTGTTCATGAGATATTGCAGGAGATAGGGGCGAAACCTCTTTTCCAACTCCATCACCCCCCAGGCCGCTCATCATCTAAACATGCCGAGAGACGCCATGGTGATCTGCGAGGTTGTCCGCTATATGGTGCTTCGGCGTGCGAATCTTTGCAGGGTGCAACAACTGCGTTAGTTGTTTGATTGGAACCAGGGCTCCGTTCAACAGCACCCGCTTGGACAGAATGTCGCGTCATTCGAGCCTATTAATCAATCTCCATGGAGGTCTAGCGAAAGAACACCTCGCGCAAGGCTGAAGCTAGTTGCAGCTGATGCCTTTAGTAAGAAGGGCAGCCAGCCTCCGCGCGGAGGAAAGCATTGGCAAAGAAACTTTGCATGGCTGTGTAGTGGAAAAGGATGCCACCGAGGACAGCAGCATGCCAGAGGTTGTGGCTTCCACCCACGTAGTCGAAGCAGCCGGGGTACCATCGCTCGGGGATCTTGCTGGCGTAGACCACCGCGCCCGTGAAATAGACAAACATGGATTTGGAGATAGGAGAGTAAAAGTCGTAGACAAAGTCTGGCCCGTGAGTCCACCCGAGCTGAACCATGGGCATGAAGCCGGTCAAGGCCAGACCAACATAAAATGCGACGCGGGCCCATGCCATGTCGGCGCCGTTAAACCGAGGGTGCCATGGGAGGATGACGCCTCCTATTCCGAGGAAGGCCGTCAAGCACATGTAGATCCACCGACTGATAGGATCGCAATAAAAGGCTGTGTACTCAGTTGTCATGATAGAGGCGGCGATAAGCAGGGAGATGCCGGTGTAGTCGACGCAAGCGAATATCGAGATGGCGTCGACATCGGCAACGGCATTCATCGTGTGCCAGACGGTCGAGCAGACCAATGTCAGACAAGCCATGACGAAGAAGACGCCCGCGACAAAGACGTCGGTCTTGGTGCTCAGCGTAAAGTTGCTGCTGCTCGGGTAAAAGTAGAGGGCGATCGCCAGAACCAGAATGAGGCCCAGGGCGTGGGACCAGATGTTGACCAGCTCGTTGGAAAGGTTGAATGCGGAAAGAACACACTCAAGCTTCGATTCAGTGAAGCGATATCCCTTCTTGATGTGAGGGTTATTCCTCCAGGGTGTGGGGAGGTCTTCGTAGCAAATAAGTCGGCCCTCCTTGGCCTGGACAATGGCTTGCTGGATGTGCTCCTCCAGAGACAGGGCAGCCTGAATGGCACGTTCAATACCTTCGTTGGCGACCCGGCGGCCTTCGTCCATGAAAGCCTCGGCGGCGTTGGCGGCATTTGCGAAACCCTGCTCGCGAAGCTTATAAGCGCGCGTCTCGAAATCGGAGAGCATGTTCTCGAGCAGGTCCACGCCAACGCGAGCCTTTTCGTTGAGCGACTCGGCAGCCTCGAGGGTTTCATGGTATCTCGTCTCCAGGGTTTCAACCATGATGTGTAACCGACGTCGGCCTGCGCCGAGGACTTCTTCAGAAGCATGGGAACATCGTGTGCGGACGGTCTGGAGGGTGGAAAAGGCGCGGGAAATGCTCGAGTCCTTGCTCAGGTCGACATAGTTCTCGATAAAGTCAAGACGGCGCTCGAGCTCCGAGAGGAACAAGTCCACCTTGAGGAGGAGACCCTCTTCGCCATCCATGATATGGCCAACGATAGATCGTCTCCGGGGAATGAAGAAAGAGTGTCGTCGCTTTCGAGGTTCAGCGCGGGGACGAATGTCGGATCCAGAGGTCGCAGCCAAAGTATCGTCGTCACGAGCCTGGTAGGCACAGGCCGTGGTGATGGCGGTGGTAACATCGGACATGGCGGCGGCTGGTAACTCGGTGCGAGGCGCCGTGGTGTATATGCCGGCGACGGCTGGCTGACGGGCGTTGGAGCGCTGAAACCGTTACAGTAGAGGCAGTGAGTGGCGGCCCTTCTAGTTGGCGGTGCTGATTTGCGGCGATAGGGACTGGCACTCTACATCCAATGCGTGTATGGCTTCGTCGAGGCCACGAGCGAAGAATGAGGAGAGCAATTGGTTGCTGAGACGGACGGCTATATCTATCGGGAGAAGTTGGGCGCAGCGAACGCACGCCTGCGGGCCCTGTGGTTGATTGGACGCGGGGGGCAACGATTACCGAGTTTGGCGGCGGTTGGGACTGGAACTTTTTTTTTCCTCCTCTCAGTTGAAACGTTGAATAAGGATCTGCAGGTAAGCCAAGCCTTGGGGATAGAAGATGTGATATAAATCTGGGGGATTGATTGTAAGTGGGAAAGGAGAGGAAGTCTCGCGGGACAAACAGCAGCAGCAAGGAGAGTGGGCTACGGATTACACGGAAAGGAATGGGGGAGAGAGTGAAGGAGCATGAAAGTAGAGAGATTGGACTGAGCTATTGATGAGGGAAAGGGAATCGACAAAATGGAGCCCAGTAGCTGAAATGACGGCTCCGGGGGCGGCCTTGGCGTCCATCCATCCATGACCCAGAGGGAACCCCGATGGTCCCTTGTTGGGCATGGAAGTTCTTAGCGGCCGCCACCCTGAAAAACCGCCTGCAGAGACGATTGGGCCGTCCACGGGCATCTCTGGAGAGGACCAACGTTACGACGCAGCACTGTGCTTCCGCGGGTGAGCAAGCCCGGTACGTCAGAGCTTGGCAATTAAAATCATCCACTCAAGATCAAACACCCGCGTCTGTTTGTACCAGAAATCACATATCAGCAAAAGAGACGCAACTTGCTGATCCTCCATGTCTTGAGCCTTTTTTTCCATCCCCAAGACGGGTACCTCGGCTAGCTACCTACAGTAGGTATCCTATCCCGTGCAGCAGCACCTCGTCAGCTCGCCACGGCCCGCCTGTGGATTTCCAGTAGCGGAAGAGGGTGGTTTACTTGCACCAATAGCGCACCAAACTCAGAGACGCCTCCGATGTCCCCCACGAGCCGATTGGGCCCCTGTTCCTGGACCAAGGATGATGGATCGGGGTTGAGAGAGGGGTTGCTCAACACATGGCGTGCCCAAGGGGGACAGCAGTTGGCCTGAACGTTGAACATCACCAGTCGACAGCGCAGAATCTCCAGCTGGAGGTGATACACGATTTACTTAATTAAAGCTGATGCTAGCCCAAACAACTTCAAGCTTAGTTACGCCCAGTTCTTGCTCTCCTCTCGACTCCCGTGCCTCGTAAGCAGCCGAGAACGGGCTAATGCTGACTAGGACCACCCAGGTTTTAATCTTGGTCACCTCAATTAGACAGGGGCTTGGGGTGATCCAGAGGCCGATGCCCGTGATTCAAGGCTGATTCAGACAGCCATCTCAAGATCATGAGTTGCACTCCATCACACCACGATGCCAAGGTGGAAATGACGAGGTCTGAGCTCGTCTCTTTCACATGCTCTCGTTGTCCAAATCCAGGGACAACGCAGTCCGAGCAATCAAGCCCCAAACAATGACTCCTTGCGCTGGCTACTAAGGCTGAAAGCGCATCTTGTCCTTGACCTCATTCCATCGTGAATGACCTCTCGCCTCCTCGCGTTTCCCCATGTCTTGAAAGCCGTCACGGGACTGAGTACAGCCCACACCCATAGCCGAAACTTCCAATTCCTCACTTTGACTTGGATAACCAACGCCCAGCTGAAGCGGGTAGGGCATGCCAAGTCGCTCCCTTTTGTATTGTTTCCGACAAAATTATGAGTCCGAGTAAATGAACTCTTCTACAGAGTAACACGAATGACAGCCCAGTTTGCGATGTCCTAGCAAAGGCGGCATTTGCCCACCTCCCATAGAACAGAGATTAGGGAGCATGCTTGGCGGCAAGATGGGCCCAACAAGTTCTGAGAATATCACAAAAAGATGCCGAGTTGGCGTTTCCATCGTGTCAATTGAATGTAAGGGCGAATACAGCGATAGCTAGACCTTACTGCCCGTTCTTGAGTCCATGCCTTGTAAATGCCACCAAGAAGCACATCGACTTCTACCAACAATGTTTTCGCTCCAAAAGTCGTGGGAAGCCGAATAGAACTACATGTGTCACTAAAAATAATTTCTACTCTTTCGGACTTCTCGACGTTCACTTGCGAAACAATGGATAACTAACTATTGAACAACTGGAAGTCTTTATAAGCCTCTGAAAGAGACTCGAGTTGCTCTCAAGAAGCCTTCGGTACTTAATAAGAAGACAAACGTGTCGTCCCCCAAGGGAATAGAAGACAGCAATATTTCCAAAAATTGCAACAAAGTTCGAAACCTTCCGAAGACTAATCAAAATCAACCTATTCCATAATTCGGATTATTCCAACGCTTTTATAAACCATATCACGTTGAATTCTCGAGGTCTCACCCTCTTCAGTCCAGCCTTGGCCCCGCTCCACTTTTCCCCAGTCTCACTTTCTGTCCCTGCAGGAACACAACAACCTTCGGCCTTGTTGTCGCTCGGGACTTCCGGAGCTCGGGTCATTTCATTCATCTCTTTCACCAGGAGCCATTTCCCCCTCCAGCACACCGCATCTCGCCTCTCGTTACCTTCGGATCACACTATCACGATTAAAGCCAGCAATCATGGCTATCGACAAGCTGGTCAAGGAGCCGAGCCTCGTCGCGGTCCTGCAGATTTCGGATCAGGCACGCGACCAGGCGAGCTCTCTCGTCAACCTCGCTGAGCAGCCACACAATGAAGCATCCGCGCCGGCCGAGATCCAGT